TTTATATTTATAATATAGCTAGTCTAACTTTTTATTAAGTTTAAAGGACTTATAATTACTTATATATAGTTATACTTTATTATTAATTTCGAAGCGCTCTATTAGCGCTCTTTATTTATTAGCTAAGCGCTCTATCCGTTTTTATAAAGCAGCTATAGCGGCCTAGGTAAACTTTATTACTTTTACAAGTTTTTATATTATAAAATCGGCTTTTATTTCCCGCTCGTTTACCGTTTTTAATACGCTTTTTTAAATCCTTAAAGGCTCGACGTTATACCCGTACTCTATAAAAAAAGGTAAGAGCTTTATTATTAAAGCTATTTAGTTATTAAAGCTTAGTTAGGTAGTTAGTAGCTAGTCCTCTTAATTATTTTAAGTATATACGATTATACGTTATAAAATTATTTCGATCTCTTAGTTAAATTATTCAGTTAACCTATCGGTCTATAAGTAAAAAGCGGTATTTAAATACTATTTTATCTTTACTTTTATATAGAATCGGCGCTAAAACTTATTAATTTAATTATTACCGCGATTATTTATAATAAACCGAGGCATTTTATAAAATTAGAAATAGTAGTTAATAAAGCGGTCTATATAGGCCTCTACCTTTATAAATACTATTAGTTTGAGAGTAATAGACTTTACGAAGCGGTTAATTATTATTTATAAAAACCGAGCGCTACTTTTTAATAATAGAGGGAGGTTAGTAATAAAGTCTATTACTAGGTCGCTTTTTATCTATTCCAGTACTATAAAAAGCTATAAAAGGCCGCGTTTAGTTTATTACTATATAGTACTCCCTCTATAAGTATTATAGTTTTAAATAAACCTCTTTATTACGCTAAACTAGCCTAGCTAATAGAACTACCTAAATAGGATAGCCGCGGTAGCGTTTTTATTAAAATAGTTCGTTATTAAAGATCTATAATAGCGCTAAATTATTTCCGTTTAGAGCGCGTTATCGTTATAGTCCGGGTTTTTATATTTAAAGACCTATAATCTTTTTTATTAAGTTAGTTTTAAAAGTACGTTAATATTATATTCCGCGATTTATAGTTTAAAGCCTAACTTAGGGGGGAGCGCCTTAGCTCTATTTAATACTACTTTATATATTTTAAAATATTATTTATCTTTTACTTTTATTTCGTTTTATTATTACTAGAGCTCCGCGTCGTTTATAAAAATATCGGTTTCGAATAGCTCGAGTACTTTTATAGTTTCGGTTTAATAAACCGCGCCGGTTATTAACTAAGTAAAGTTAAGAATTACCTAAATAATCCTTTTTTTCTTTTTTTTATTATCCTAGCTGGTTAGGGCGTTTTATTCGCGCTTAGAGAGCGCGTCTAGGGCGGCTAATAAATAGCCTAGGTAGTACTCGATTTTAAAATAATATTATAAAAGTTATTTTACTTAACGGCTCTAGCGCTCGGTTAGCTTTTATTTTTATATAAAATATTTTAACCCTTTATAATCTATAATAACTTTAAATCCGTAAAAGCTTTATAGCTCCGCGTCCTACGTATTTAAATAGGATATTATAGTAAAGAGCTTTTTATTATAAATTAAATAGTTATATTAAGCGGGTATAAGCTTTTATAAATAAAAAGCGATTAGTTAGTATATACTTAATAGATCTTTTTATATAAGAGAGCTTCTAAATATAAATTTAGAGTAATCGGTTTTAATAATTATTATTAAGTTAGGGTTAAAGTTTTGAAATAGGGGTACGGATATAAAACGCTTTTTAAACGTTTTAAAAGTAGTGTTTTATTTAGCTATCTATTTAAACGGCGCCCCTTTTTTAATTAGGGCGTTAAGGGGTTTAATAATAGCGGAGTAGTTATATATAAATACGTAGTAATAGTTAGTAAAGCTAAGGAAGCTTTTAACCCTTTTTATTATTTTAAGTACGAACTATTTATAAATAGTGCGTACTTTTTCCGGGTTATATACGATCCTTTATCCCGCTTTAAAAATAAATCTAACGTACTTTATAATTTAAATAGAGAACTCGTTTTTAGTTAAGTTAAAATTAAAGCCCGCTATTACGAGGGTATATAATATCCGTTATACCTTTTTTTTATAGTCCGCTTTCGATCTATTTAAATATATTAATATATCGTTTATATATATAAAGGTAAAGTCGTTAAAGAATTCTTTTAAAGTCTAGTTTATATACTTTTAAAATATAGCGAGCGCCCCGGTTAAGCCGAATAGATAAACTATTTATTTAAAAAGGCCGTACTATATTTAAAAAGCGGTCTTTTTTTAATACCCTTTAGTTACCCTAATTTTATAAAAGGCCGCTACGACGTTTAGCTTTATAAACTACTTTATTAAACTAACTTTTTAAAGGGTTTCGTTAATTAATAGTAAAGGGTAGCGGTCCTTTTATATAATTACGTTTAACGCTCTATAATTATAATAAAAGCGTAAGCCGCTCCTTAGTTTCTTAACGAAAAGAACGGGGGCTCTAGTAAAAGAGCTACTAATTTAAATAAAGCCCTTATTAAACAGGTTTTTAAAAGTATTATATAATACTAATAGCTCTTTATAAGATATAAAATAAAGGGGGCCCTAGGAGAGGGGCGCTTTTTATTTATTAAATTACCGCTCGAGGTTAATTATAAAGTCGATTTTTAGCCGAGTTAGTAAAAGGGGGTATACTTTAAATAGCTTAAAAAGGTTATTATATTCCTTTTTTATTTATTATAATAGCCGAGAAAAGTAATCGGTTTTGCTCTTTAGCTTTAAGGCTTTATTAATATTAATAAAGTTAATTACTTAGATCCCCGTAATATACTTACTCGGCTAGCGCTTTTTTTTTATAGCGACTTTATAATATAAAATAGTAAAAGAGGGGGCTCCTAGGCTTTATATTTTATAAATCTCTTATACTATAGCGCTTTTTTTTTATTTACTAAAGTACGCTTTTATTTTACCCTTTTTATATTAAATCCGCTATTTAATTATATCGTATATAATATAGTTCCGTTCTATTTAAGGTTTTTTAAAAAATATATTTACGTTTAGGCTTTTAATAATATACGTATATACCTTTTTTATATAGCCGCTAATTTTGAAATTAAAAGTAACGACCCTTTTAATTATAATTTAGGTAGATTTATTTACAAATCCGCGAAGTTTATATTTCGTTTTATTTATATATAGGAAGCGAAGACGGCGGGCTAGTTAAGAGTTTATTATAAAATATATATTATATTTATAGTCTATTAGCGTTAAAGTTTTATATATTTTATTAATCTTCGCGATAAGTAGTGCCGAAGGCCCGCTTATAGTCCGTTATTAATTAAATAACTCCTATCCTATTTATTCTTTATTTATAGGCTCCGGTACCCGATTTTATACTAAAACTATTCTTTTTTTAAATAATATTTGTCGTTATTTAAATTTACCTCTTCTATATAGTGCTCTATAGGCGCTATTTAAGCTACGCGAGCTTCCCGCTTTTATTTATAGTTCTTTATAATATATTTAACTTTATTATAACTAAAATAGTACTAAGTCTTTAGCTTCGTTAATAGCTTCGCTTTTTATTTAAGTTTTGTAGCCTTTATAGCTCTAGTTATAATTATATTTTCATTACTATTAACGCGTTTTTTTATTACGCGATATCTTTTTTATACCGAAATCTAGGGGTTACGCTAATTAAAGTCGTAGCCCTTTATATTACTAGCTACTATTTAAATATTATAAAAGAAGCTAGTATATAACGACTTATTTTAAAACGTAGCGATTATATATTCTTTTAATTATAGAGCTAAAGCGTAAATAAAATATTAAATTATAACGTCCGCGGGCTATTTTTAGCCTCTAGCGTTAATTAAAGTTTTTTTAAATCGGAATAAAAATATTACGAACTTCTTACCCTTTTTTATAGTTATTATCGATAGTTCGTTAAGGGCGTTCCTAGTTTAATAAAGGTCGCTATATATTTATAAAAAGTATATAAAGAGTTCGTTAGACCCTCGTTTCCCGTTTTTCTTTCTTTTATAATAAAACTAGTTTATTATTTTTTAAACCCGAGAAGTAAAGTACGAAAAAATAAAATATTTTTATTTTTTATTAATATAATAAAATAGTATATCGATAACGAGCTTATTATATATCTAAGCTTTTTAAATACTATATTCGTTTTTATTACCCGAGAACTTTACTAGGTTTAATAAGGGCTTTTTATAGGGGGCTCTATTATTAAAAGGTATTTTTAAACTAGCGAGGGTTTTATAAAGGTTAGGTTTTTTAATAAAAAGCGCGGGGGGTCCGCTTATTTATTAAAACTATTCTTATAGTAATTATAAAATTTTATTAAACTTTTTATATTCGCGCTTTTATTTCGCTATATCCGTTACTCTTTTTATTTTACCCTATTTCTAGGCTTTTATTAACTCCTATAAGCTCTAAATAATCTATTTTTAGGTTTATATTATAGCTCCTATTAGCTAGGTACTTAGCGGTATATTAATAATCGTATTTATTTTTATCGTGTAATATAATTAATAATAAAGCGGGTAAAAAAAAGAGCTTAAATATATTAAAAGTCTAGCCTACGTAAATTTACGTTAAGGGGATTTTAATATATAGAATCTAAGTTAAGGAATAAAGGTTTTTAGAGTAGAGGTTCTATAAAAGTTCTATAAAAGAAAAGCGCTTAAATAGGACCTCTGTAGAAGCGGTATAATAAGCCGTAGTAGTATCCGGGCTAAGGCTCGGATCTACTAATCGGGTCTAGCCCGTAATAACAGCTATAATGCTTCTTAGTACCATAACCTCAGCAAGACCATTCTAACACTTGAACTCAGATATCTAAATCGATCCTGCTAGCAGTTTCTTATGTATTCGTCGGTCTCTGACTTTATGCCCGTCTCTTCCGGCTACGAGAGAAGCTGGCCTGGTCAGATATTCTCCTCGTCCTCTCCGCTATCAACGCTCTCGCCTTGATCATATGTGACACTCTGACCTTCCAACTCGGCGTCATGGATCATTGGGAGTCTTCCGTCGCTCTTTCCAAGGTACGCTTCTAGCCATGAAGACCCATGTGGCCCATGTCATCACTAGTGACTAACTTCTACCACAAAGATCTCCTTCGCATCCAACTACTTCTACGATGTCGGGATGGGCTTCCCCAAAATGAGCATGCTGGCATTCTACTGGGCCTACTTTCCCTCAACTACCAGCCCGGTAATGCGCAAGGCACTCTGGGGCATCACTGCTTTCGTCTGCCTTTCGTACATAGCTATACTTTGGGACGACACATTTTTCTGCGGAAAGGACGTTTCGGTGCAGTGGTCACAGGAAGATGGCGCATGCAGTGTCTTTTACGCGCCAGAGCCCTTCATCCTCAACTTCACCCTCAACCTCGCTTGCTACCTTTGCGGTATGATCATCCGGCATCCCTCCAACACTAATTGTCAAATCTTCGATGACTCGCTGAGAACGCATACTAAACATAATTCTTATAGTCTATGTTCTCCCTTTGACTCTGTTGATCCAAGGTGTCCTCGAGCGATCCACCGGTCTGACTCTTACTTTCGCTCTTGGTACTTTGACCATCATGACAACTATTGTACGCTTCATTACCCTGAAAGTTGGCACTGGCCAGGAGAACTTGGTTTGTAAGTATAGTACACCTGTGCCCATTCACAACATTATGGTCTGACAAGAGCTCCACAGATCCTCTGAGCATTCTGGAAATGACCCTCGCCATTACCGTGGTGGCCCTTCCAGGCTTGAAGCCTCTGCTCGACCGCCAATCTACGAAGACTTCGGTCGAAACAGTTCAAGTCGATAGCGAGAGCAAGAACTTCTCATCATGAATGCATATCCTACGAAGGATTTCAAACAAGTCGTGATGCCCTTAGCGCGGCGTGTACTGGCCACATGACATGTGCGTATCATATCCAAGGGGGAAGGGAGGCTTCCATCTCCCTCAGATGAAGCCGTTTTACATATGCGTATACTTTTAATCACGCCTCAAATAATGGGGGTTTTTTTTTTACTACTCATGACAACGTATTTTGTCATGATTGTGTGGGCCTAAATGCCACTCGCGAGGGTTGAATTCTCTAGAATCGGATCTCCGGGCATGACACATGGCCAGACTCCTAGTTGTGAAGTTCAACAGTTGAACTCAGGTCACCGTACCCAAGCTATCCTACAGTCAAACTGACTTCAATCAAATCCCTACTCGCTCATGTAGCTAGCCTACAGAGGATGTCTTCGCAACAGCGTTATCATGTGCCGATGACGTTCCCTCACATTGATAGAACGACAATCGACGACGACGAAAAATCAGCGGTTGAAACTATATTCGAGCCTCATGTCAGAGCTCAGGTTGTCATACGGCCAATGTGTAGATTTAACAGTGTCGTATCCCCTTGATTATGCCAAGACATGCTCGTTTATATGGCGCATCAACGCGTATGCTCCCCTTGTTTCAACGGCGAGGATGCTTGGCCTCATTCGTTCAATCTACTCTGCTGTAACCTGTACCAGAAGAGCCCAAGGATCAATAATTAGATGAGTATGTAGTGAAAAGTGGTCAGCTGAAAGTCCTGTAGACTACGAGCTGTATCGCTCTATGTGTGCACGCGTCTGATGAATAACCTTACAAGTACGGGTGTCTTATGATCTTCCTGCGACTCACGCATCAATTGAGCTACCCGCCAAGTGATCAATCATATCGTGCAAGTTATCACAACAGGTTGATTTACCTCTACAATACCTCGCTCTGTTAGATAGGTTGTGGTGTAAGCTACTAGCTATCATCCGGAGATGTTCAACAGGGGCAGATTTTGTATAGAGACCTGGCGTTTTCAACAAGAAAGCTGGAGTTGCATTGATTTTAATGAAGACCACAAAGGGAGGCTAAGACTCGGTCCAAACACCGCAAACTCCTTTTTTAATTTGAAGCTCTGGTTGTTCTGGGCAGTCATGCCAAGCGTGGCAGTGCCCAGAGTCTTGGCAGCACGCTGGGTAACGATCGTCTCACCTCCCCGATGTCCGGCCCCGGGGACACCCTCCGACAGGCGACCGGTGGTGATCTTGTCCGGTTCTTGCGCACGGAAACCGCATCTTGGCGCGTTTCGAAACGGACCTCCTTCGATTTTCCACGTGTAATGTGACATTTTAGATTAAGGTATTGATGAATAAGTTTCCAGATTGATTACATTCGTGTTTCCTTGGAGAGGAAGGAAAATGTTGTACAGGTTTTCATGTCCTGCCCATAGCTACTACAGAGTACATTACACTACCGAGCCGTCAGTCAGCTTTGACACGTCAAGATCATGTATGCCAATCAGTGGGCCTGTCAATAGCTGTACTGCGCGGGTTGTGGAGGACATGCGGGATCCCCTCAAAGGCCAAGACCTCCTTAATTCGGCTGTTTGTCTTGCTGTGAGAATCAACTTGGACAGAGAATGGCTATCCACCTCTTGACCATCCCACTGGGTACCTCAAAGTCAAGTATAAATGAGCTAGAAGCTCTGCTTCGAGAACAGTCCGGAGAAGATTTTAGCACCAGCCTTCAGCAGCATCTCCGGTACTGTCCACACTCTTTGATTAACAATCCAACTTCCTTACCTCAGTCACTATGCGTACCGAAGCATTCAAGCTCCTCGCGGCTCTGGCAGTCGCCTTTCCAACTGTCTCTGCCTGTGTGGGCAAGGACGCCCTTCCAACCGCGACAGAGACAATCAGCAACACTGAGCCTATCGAGGTGGCTGCTGGCGAGTCATACGATGGCAAGATGGCCCGCTTCGACAGAGGATCGGGTGCCTGCAAAGCCCAGACGGAAGGTGGTCAGAAGGACACCGTTTTCCTCCTCCGCAAGGGCGCCACCCTGAAGAACGCCATTATCGGAAAGGACCAGATGGAGGGCGTGTACTGCATCGGTGGTGGCTGCACCATCGAGAACGTGTGGTTCGAGGACGTCTGCGAGGATGCCATCTCCATGTAAGTCAAATCATCTTCTTCCAGTTGGAAGTCCATCATGAATCGGCATATTGAAACTCATATCCATTTTAGTAAAGAGGATGAGGCCGGCACTGAGACTCGTATCATCGGTGGCGGTGCCTACAACGCTGCGGACAAGGTTGTTCAGCACAACGGCTGCGGAAGTGTCAGCGTAAGTATACCGATCTAGAGGCGTGGGAACATTCCGTATGTCGCTGTTTCTTACAAGAATGACAGATTTCAAACTTTTACGCCTCTGACTACGGCAAGGTCTACAGAGCCTGCGGCACTGTAAGTATCTCGAAACGACCCCCCCTCACAACCTGGTACACTTGACTTACAACCTTATAGTGCGATGCTTGCAAGCGTACCGTCACGATCGAGGGAGTCTCTGCCTATGGCGGCGGCGAGGTTGCTGGCATCAACGAGGAGACCGGCGACGAGGCGACTCTCGTCAACGTCTGCACTGACGCTAAGACTCCGTGCCAGCTGTACAATGGCCCCGGCGAGAAGTCTGGATCTTGTTAAATCTCAGGTCTACGCATAACCTGACCCAGCTTGTCGACTTTGAAAGCTGTGGTGATCGATCAGTTTTCACGATTCGAGGCATCCACTGCCCCCAAGATTGACCAGCCCAAGGGGAATTCGTATATATACTTCTTCAAAGCATGCTTATCAGGCTTCCCAAGTTCATATTATTATGTACATGTCATCATCAGTGACTCTTTCCATGCATGAGAATTGGCGAAACGTACGGTAGTTTAGAGGCCAGAAACTTCAATCCTTTGTGGTTCTTGACGCTGGTAAGTAGAAATCACTTACCGATCGATACTTGCTCCATGTGAATATGACGAGCCTCACGATGCACAAGCTAAGACTGATACGGAAATCGTTTGATTAAGGTTCTTTTGGTGACATGACAAAAGAAACCATGTAGTCATTATATCCATCCTTCCAAGTACGCCAAAATGCAAGACCCTAGGTATCATGTTCTATCTCCGAGTTTATAAGAAGAAGAATCCCATGGTAAGCGCCAAACTCCACGCAATGCAGTTGTAAATGCTGGTTCCAGAACCCAAAGCCGCCGCACCCGAGTCATCATTGCTCTTGCCTGAGGACGAGTTGCTTGATCCACCCGACGACGATCCAGGGGTAGATGTAGTCGCCGTACCAACCCCCTGAGACGAAGTCGCGAGCCCACCACACGCAGTGCTATCGGGCTCTGCGCTACCGACCTTGGCGCCGACATTGGCGACCACGGCCTCGGTGTCGCGAACGGGGATGCTTGCTTTGCCGTCACTGCCCACCTTGACGGTGATATCGTCGCTAGACACCTGGCTAAGCTTTCCGTCGTTGCCCTGCTCGAAGCTTAGGCCGTTCCACGTTGTCCCGCTCGTCGCGTCGGCTCCGTCGCCAGTCAAATAGGCCAGGTGAAGCGTCTCGCCGGCGAGGGAAGATGGCAAGGTAACGTCGACTGTGATGCTGCCCTTGTTGGCATCAGAGACGTTGGCGACCTTGCCGTTGAGCAGGACAAGGGAGGCCAGCGAGTCGCCTTGGTATACGGACCAGGCCTTGATGTAGTCGTTGTAGCCTGAAGGGTAGTCCGTAATCTCAGCCTGGGCAACGCGGGCGGTGCACGAGCGGCCAATAGTCTGGGCAAAGGCAGCCATGCCGTAGTAAAGCGGCCGGACGAAGCGGTCGCGTCCGAACATGGCTGTCGGTTGCCAGGCGCTGGCATTGCTGTCATACGTCATGTGGAATTGGACAGAAGAGATGTTGATAGTTGTGGCGTAGAGGAGGAAGTTGAGAGTCCATAGGGCGGCGGCGAAGGTATTGCTGAGTCCTTCCACGCCAAGCGGTCCGACTACAGACATCTCGCGCAGCGCAAAAGGATGCGTAGTCTTCTCGGCTTGTGTGATTTGAGTTTCAATCGCCGAGTCGAATTGCGCCTTTGTCGTTTCAAAGCGCAGCATGTAATCGAGAGTCAAGGGGTACGGGAATGATCCGACAAAGTAGTAGTAGTTGTGCTGGTTCCAACTCGTAACGAAGCCAACATCAGAGCTGTTGGCCTTATCGTCAATGCCATACTCGACTAGATCCTTGATCTCGAAGCCCGTGCCAGCTACCCAGGCGGTCGAGGCAGACGCCTCGAAGAAGTCGCTGTGCAGTCCGCGAGGCTCCAAGACTTCTGCCCACACGGCGTTGGCACGCTCCCGCCATTCCTTGGTGTACTCCGTACCGGACCAAGTCGCCTTCTTGCGGAAACCGTTGTCGCCATAAAGGTCTGGCTCGTTGCCAAATTCGAAGGACATAACGTTGAGGTTGGTGCACCGGTCGATAATCTGAGACGCCATTGTTGTAAGCCTCTCGAGGTAGTCGGACTCTGCGTAGCCCAGGTTCAGACCCCATGTGACGGGCGTACCCTTGGGCAGACGGTTTGCGATCTCCATAAAGCGGGGGCCGACGATGAAGTTATCTGCAGGGACGTTCCCCGGCGCGGTAGGACGGGGATTCGGCTTGATAAGCCATTCGTCTTGTGAGTCGTTGTAGACGAGGTAGTCTTGAGTATTTCCTCCCAATCGCATGTGCGGTGGACGACCGGTGAAGTTGGCCAGGTTATCGAGGAGGTTTAGGGTTAGGTCATTTGGTGTTTCGTCGCCCATGAAGTAAAAGAGGTGGTCGAGCTCGATGCCGAAGCCGGCGAATGATGGGTCGATTGTTGCTGAGACATTATTGGGGACTGATCCGGAGAGCGTTAACGACAAGACGTTGTCAGCAGCGAATGCGGCAGAGAGTAGGCCGCAGCCAACGAGAATGCGACTCTGCAACGGCGCCATATTCAAATAACAACCGGAGAGGGAAGTGGCCTGGATTAGGTTGCGGGTGGCTTATTCGGTTGTTATGAAGGCCCTAAACCATCATGAGAACTCGACGACGAAGCGGGACACCCAAAAGACTTTAAAGACGATTGGAAACAAGACCGAGACAAGCGGTCTCTCCAATGTCGGTCTACCCCATCCATTTCATCATTGTAGTGGATCAAGGCCGGAGCTTTTGCGCCCTCGTGCGGCGTTGTGTCAGTTCCAACCCTTGCTGGTACCAAGAGTCGAAGAGGCGTTTGCTCCAGTCTGACGCGTACCACCAGCTTGGAGTGCTTGGAAGCTGTGGGAGCTTGGTGAGAAAAACACACTAGAATTCTGAAGGATGGGTGGCCCAAAGTCACATAACCCAGTTTTCTCGAACCGCAGTAGCAGATCTGTTTGGGACGCTTCACCGAGGCCATTGGAGAGCCAGAGTAGCCTAGACCACGCGCCACAAGAAATGCCATGCCTCTTTAGGCGCCACGATGCCGTTGTACCGTGATTGCGACAGCCCGTTGGTGGGTTAATGACATCAGTCCGGATTGCGCACCTTGTAGCACCCTGTCCGGTTCGGTGGGCCAAGCGTTGGCAGATTTGGCACAACTGTGGCACTTGACCGATGTGTCGCGTTTCCCCCCCGCGCGAGAAACGTGCGTTGAGTCTGGGTCAACAGGGGTGGAGGTGAGAGGCGGGTGATGTCAAACAGACGTTGGTTGTGCAGAGTCTGCGGAACTGTCAAGGAACCTGGAAGAGTCAAAGATACTACAGGGATAACAGCAGTTGTTTCGCTTTCCCTCCAACCGGTTACGGTTAGGAAACGTGACAACGCCGCAGCAAGCCACAGCTGCCACACCCATTCACCACAGATCCAGCCATCCATCCCGACATTGCTCGGAGAGCCTGGATGGAAATGAGGATGGCGTGAATGCAGCATAGAGTTCACGGAGAATTTGACCTTCCCATTGTCGCTTGCCATCCCGCTCAATTGTCACAGCCCATCGGTTCAATTTCTCAAGCTGACAGTCCCAACTCTCCCGTTTCCTGCAGGAACAATGGCACGAAAAATGCCGATTACTGTCGATCGTTTTATTCTTCAAAACGAAATTAGAAACTCTTTGCTCCACCCACGTGTTGAGACGGTACACTTCTTTCAACGGAGCTTTTCTATGGAACCGAGTACCGATTTTCAGGAGAGCCAAAGCAGCTGCAGGACGGGAGTGTGAACAAACTGAGGAGCACCCAGAAAAGACGGACTGTTTGCGAAGCAGTTTGGAAGGAAGATGGGAGACCACGTTGAATTGGCTGACGTCAATTCAGATGCAGGGGATTGGGTCTATTGTGGTCACATGGCAGTCCCAGTCTTATTAGACGCCAAGTTGAATCCCTCGCATCTCTATCTCCCTTACCGGGCGGTTCGTTGTTGTCACAATGACGAGCCAACAGTCATGACCGGAAATGAGATGGCCGGGTAAAAGGTCCAGGCGCATGTCTGTCAACTAGAGTACCTAAGCTAAAGCTTTGCTTTCAATTGACTTTATCTAGCTGATTGACCAAGGGCAGATAGTAAGGGACTTGTACTACTTCCAACACACATGAAAGGACGCCAATGCTGAATGGGATTGCTGTGAATCCCCATCGCGTCAAATGCACTGAGGGATTTTGCTGTTGTCCGAGGCGTAGCTAGGCCCAAAAGGACATCCCAGCCATCTCTTTGGGGGCCGAAAAGGCGGACCGGGAACACGGCATGCCCAACGGATCTGATGCCCAGATCCGTCCGCAACACTCGCTCTTCTTCCTCTCCCGAGTCTCAGAGAACCTAGACATGTTATCCTCCGCATTCCAGCCCCGGCAGTAGACTTGTTCTAGTCACTTCAGATTTTAGAGTCTGTAAGTCCCGCTCCTCGATGGACTTTTCTCTGCTCGATCCAACATCGACACGTTCAGCCCGCGGTCCACTCAATGACCACCCATGCCTTGGCACCCGGGCCTTGGTCCTTGCAGATCCGAGTCTTGGGCGCCCCGTGCATACTCGGAACTGTCATCATGACTTCTCTTCATTTGGCTGCAGCAAGCGCAATCTGGCGAAGAGCGGCCGGATCGTCGGAAGTGCCGGTAGCACGGTCAATCCGGCAAAGCATCACATCACGGCATCGGGTCCCGCACCCGAGCGTGGCCTGTGCAGGACTGTCACGATTCTGCACAAGTTCGATATATGAGGAGTCGAATTGATCAAGGTGAGCTAGACTTCTTTTCGCTCTTCGGTAAACGGAACTTCTACAGACTTTTATAGTCTCAACTCCTGATATTGCCTTCCTTCTTCACGGTATGTCTACCGTTCAGCCACACACAATTGCATCATCTAGCAGGACACAGTGAAATGGTGATTCTGAAGTTTTCGTTGAGTGTCCACTTTTCGCGCAGTGTGCAAAGCAATTCCTACATAGCTCTGATTTTCCAACGTTGATCTTTAAACCTTTATTTGGCAGTTCGGTCATTTTGAAACTCTGGGACATGTAGGACGCGGGCTGAGTTGCAGGAGCAGATCGTCTCGCAACTCGAGTTACTTCCAAAGAGCTCTTCGGCGGTGCCAGTCACGCATATCGAGGACCCAAGTATTGCCATTTCGCGTAGTTGATGCCTCAAGGGCTGGTCTATTTCCAACACGGACGCTCTATAAAAACAGTACCCGCAGACAGCGCCTCAGAATCGTTTAGCAATAGACACAAGCACCGGTCGGGCAATAGCCGTGGCTGCAGCTGAAGCTGCAAAGCCCCTTGTAGCTTTCGTCCAAGCCCGTAGCAGGGCATCCATCACGGCCGTCTCCGCCAGGGCTGGTCGTCTGCTCGCCGTACGCAGAGCACTCGCACACCTCATCAGGGCAGTATCCGTTGGAGCAAGAGAAAACGCAGAGACCGGTGTAGTTCTCGGACAGACCTGTCTTGACCTTGCCAGAGACGCAGAAGGATCCAGTGGAGGTGGGCGCGGGAAGGCTGGAGGTGGCGGTCGCCGTGGGAGGGGTCGTTCCTGAGGGCACGCACTTCTCCTTGATGTAGGCGGCCGCGTCGTTGGTATAGAGCTGGAAGTAGTTGGTGTGAGCATCCTCGCCCATCGTCCGGCCTTCGCCGTAGGCGCAGACGATGTCCTCGCCGTTGCACCAGGAGCGCAGGACACCGGAGAAGTTGTTGAGGTTGCTCAGGGAAGAGCTCGAGCGGGCCATCTGGCCGCTGAAGCTGGAGCCGGCCTCGACGTTGTAGCTTTGGTCGGCGATGTGAGTCGGGTCTCCGAAGAGTAGTGCAGCACAGACTGTAGTAGGTCGTGTTAGTTCTTGGCCCTTCGGTTGCAAAGTTGTCATGAGAAACGTACCCTGGCTTCCGGGAGCGGCGGTGGCAGCCAACCCAGAATCAGCGAGGATATCTCCAACAACATTGGCACCTTCGCTGTAACCACTCAGGACGATCTTGGAGCTGGGACATTTCTCGCTGTATGCCTTAACCTGGGCGACTCCAGAAACACGGCCCTCTTCAACCGCGGCAGGGTACCCAGAAGGGTTAGACGCATCGAACAATATATCTTCGTAGTCGCAGCTGGAGAGGCCATTGCAAGTGGCGTCAATGACGAGCTGCTGTCTGCCCGGGTAGCCCTCGTTCCATCCACGGGCAAGGAAGATGTGCAAATCGGTGCATGATCCGGTGCCGGTAGACTGGCGCTTTCCTGGAGCGGCGGAGGCCAGGAGGGCGAAGTTGAAGAGGGCGGCGGCTTTCGGGGACAACATCGTGGAGCTGTTTTGATTATTATTAGGACTATTAACTACAATTGCTGAGAAATTGTGCAAGAAACGAGTGACAAGGTCGCGACGAAGAAGCCGTGAAGAAACAAGAAAACTATGCGCGAAGGGGATCCGGGGAAAGCGGAGGTTTTAACTCAATCTTCCATTGCGGCTGAACTTGGTGGACTGGGGATTCCTGTATGAGTTCATTGTCGCATCAAGTAGATGCATCTTTCCCCTTATTGCTGCTTCTCCGAGTCAGCCGATAACAAGTTATTGTGGGTTCCTTCGGACTTCATCCTCGTAAATAGCAAGATAATCGCGAACTGGTATCATTGCAGGGTTGTAAGTGGGACGTGCACACGCCTTTTGCTGGGCGATACGAAGACGACTGTAAGCACAGCAGTGGAGGTCGCAAGATGAGGCTTATGCAGCGTGTGTGCAAAAAGGGGCACGGCATAACAAGAGACTGGTTGGGAATTGATCCGAGTTGCTGAGTCTTATCAAGGCCGGAGGCGCGAACTCTGGGGTTTCTATCCGTACGGATATGTAGAACTAAGACTATGTAAATATGGCAGGAGGATGGCTCCAGCAAATAAACAACGCTTGTCGACTATCTCAAACGAGACTTGGCCTCCATACTTCTATGCGAGCGTCGATGGATTCATGCCACGCATTATAGAAAGCAATAACAGACAAAAGGATTCAAGCTATCCGCATAGTTTGCGCATGTGTGCGATGAAAGCCCGAGCCTTATCCTTGAAGCTGACCGATGCACAACATCATGGTGTTTTTATTCCGACTTTTGAGTTCCGCGGCTCGCGTGGGATAAGCGGCGAGCCCGCAATTAGGGAGAAGACTAGCAAGGATGTGATGCGCCCGACTCCACAGACGCGAATCCAGCCCGCTTCGCTTCATAGAGGATCAGACAATCTCGATAGATCAACGGTAGATGCAACTGAGTCTATGACTAAGGCTTCAAGTCTGAGTTTCCATACGAGGTGTTGTCAACAATGACGGCAACTCTATTACCTAAGTAAGGTACATTGATGTTGAACAAATCCAGAATAGAACATAATTTGAGTTGTCCAGAAATATATCAAGCAAAGGTGCCAAATACACGTATTCTTCACGGGAAGTGGGAACATGCAAGTATCACATCGAAAGATTCCCTCCTCACTACGTAGGTATCCTAGCAAGAGGCTAATCCAAACTGACAGCGACTCTTGCCATTGTCGCTGCATGTCGCTGCCCTCAACAGCTTCGATACATAACATCTATCAAACGGCTTCATCCCCACGAGAACTGACCCTCCGCAGCTTATAACGTGTCCGCGGGAGTTGTGATGGCAAAGCATCCCTGTCTGAAGCTCCGTGATACGCAGCCTGTTGATCAGCGTAATAGGCACTGCTCCTCCTATTGGGCGGGCTCTTCTCTGCTGCTTCTTCCCGTATCGCTCCCCAACCACCAGACCTCGTGAACACATCATTCCGGTACTCGGTGCCGTCTCCCGGGGAGTAAACAAACTGATCGCGCCTTTGCAGAGGAATGTGATTGAACCGCCAGTCCCAAATAGCAGCATAGCATCCGCGATAGGATCCGAACGCCACAGCAGTTCCGATGATGCTTCCAGCGACGATGTCATACCAGTTATGAGCCTGGTCTATGGTGAGAGAACATGCGATAAGTAAGGCGCCAAGAAGAGGCCCAAAAGTCAGTGCAATCTTCCAAAGAGCCGGGCGGTAGTCTGCCCAGACCTTGAGTTTAGCGTTCAAGTACAAGAAGAGGTAGACATATCCGGCAAACGCGGCCGTAGAGTGGCCTGAGGGGAAGGACGTCATCGCATTCTTGAGTTTGTCGCGGTCTGGTTGCGTGCAAATATCAACTGAGTACATAATTTGCTGGAAGCCAACGGCATTGAGTCCCGTCGAGTTGTTGCTAGTTGCTCGCGTGACGTCGGGCATACAAACTGCCAGAAAGTAAGGTCGAAATCCGCCGATTAGCTGTTTAAGAATGACTTGAATCAATGTTGCAAGTGAGATGGAGAATATCAGGCCGATGATGCCGTTGTTCACGTCCCAGATGTTCCTCACACGAAACTGGGCGAGGAGAATGGCAGCGATTGGTATGGCGGCGGACAATAACGCAGACAACCAAGTATCGATGATCCAGCCGCGATCAGGATATGCCCACTGAGGGTATACAATATCTCCAGAGCCGTTGAAGATGATGGGAAAGTTACGCGTCGCGGCCAGAGGCGCATTGTAAATCTACAACAAGGCGTCAGTTCTCCCTGTCGCCTTACTCCGATGGCCTTGGGACTTACTCCTAAAGCAGCGCCACCTATTGCCGACATGACGAATATGTCAAACCAGGTGATTTTCAGCCATGCTATGAAGAAGTCCCACGAAGCCTTCACCGAACGTAGGGTGTCGCTGGTAAACTCAGGCAAAGGATCATGATCGCCATGAACACGTTGCAAACGACTGTGCTGACGCATGCTGTAGAGTCTTGCGAACGACTGATCTTCAGCTTGTCAAAGAGAAGCGTTAGAACGACTATTCGCGCTTGTCGTTCGAAGAAGAGCGGATGGTTGAGTTAAGCTAACGCAAAGTCGATGCAAGGCAAGTCCCAGTGTAGAAGAGATATTACTGGGAGTGCAGCATAAAAGCTTTTCAGTGAAATTTAGCGGAAATGTGAACCAGAAGTATAAGAAAACAATGCCAGCCATCCAATGTTTTGACTTCTTCCTGTCACAGCTGACCTCGGCGACGCGGCGCACGGTAGGCGCGCTGTCTCTTCTGATACTCCAACGGCCAAATTTCATCTCGCGTTTGTCTGTTTCGGCGTGTTCGATCCGATGAGCTCAGTCAGCCGCAGAACACTTGAATGGACAGCAAAATGAGACGGACGGCTGCCAGGAAACTTTACATTTGACCAGCGGGTTCTTGACACTCTAACGGGTTGACGGTGAGCAGAGCCGCCCGAGAGATTGCGGGCTTCTAACCTGCCGTGTTTGGCGCTTGTAGATTTTTCAAGCTCAATTCCAAGTTCGCGAGTCAGCTCTCTTACTTTCAAAACAATGCCCACATGACGCTAAGCAGCTTGATTCCGGGCGCAATCCTTGATTTCAATCACCTCATCCAGATGAACACAGTGGGAAGTCTTCTCGAAAGTGTGGAATGAAATCCAAGAAAAACTTCAAATTAGACGATCGAAATTTTGTCAAAAGCCTTAGACGAATGGATGCCCATTGCTGAAGCCTTTGGATGATCGAGTTTCGGCAGGCGAACTCCCTATCGCAGTACGTAATTACTTCGGGTTGCAACACTCAGTCAACGTCCAGAAACCAAGAAGCAGGATTATTTTTGAGCTACTACATTGCGTTGATTAAGTTCAGAGGAGATATGGCAGTATCACTAACAAGATACATCAAGGTAGGAAGCCTGGTGCTGATGCCATTCAGCATGTCAGCCTGACTGCCTGGCTTGTGTTATAACCAACAGTGGAGTGGTCCGCAATAGATCATAGCATCGCAGTGATCCAATGGGTCGAAAGGAAATGCTTCTAGTGAATCGAAATGTAATGTTTACCAGGTCGTAAATTGTTAAGAACTCAATGTTCAGCGACATTAGTAAAGGTATATCAAAACGGACTTTTCTAGCCTGACTCTGTTATCCTGACATTCATTGTCCAGCTCAGCCACGACAACTGTTGGTATATACGTGGGCAGGTTAGACCTTTTGGTCGTGACGAGGTTAATAGTCGAGGTAGGTCTATTATACGTATATAGAAGGGGAAGATCGTAAGTAGAGCCCACAATCCCTCGGTAAGTATAAATAGGCCGAAGGGTCTATTTATACGGGCCTAGACTACCTACCTACCTCCCCTACCTAACTATCTACCTAGACACCTTTTTCTACCTTGCCAATCCAATAACAACTGATTAAATGTTAAACTTTATTTTCAGGCTTCACCTCATACGTTGTTGTGACAACAATACCTCCATGACCGTGCTGCCCGCTAGATGTGCTGTTCAGACTACCGTCGCGACCACCATTTTGAGGCCAGTTGGATGAGTCGGACGACTTGACGATCTGCTCTTCGCTCGAGTTGTTGTCTAGTTCCGTCATACTGTACTTGTTATAGCGTTTCTTTGCAGGCAATCCAGATCGATCGGCACTCTGCCCTCCACCTCCTCCTATTGTCACCAACTGATGGCCGTACCTGTCACCTGAGCTGGGGTACTTCTGGTTGGCTCCGCTACTGCCCTTGGTAGACCTCAACCAACGTGAGGAAGAAAACAGTGGTCTAATGCAGGCTGCGTTCACGGCGATGATTCCAACAAACTAAATGACGGATATCTTGTTAGTTCTGTAACCTGTACCTATGTTTCCCCCCATTCATGAACTTTGGAGAGCACTTACAGTCTCTCTGATTGCCCAGATGGTGCTGACATTGATACCTTCAATGTCCTTCAGCGACAGTATGCAGCGGAGCAAAGCGGCGATCATGACGAAAATGCCCGAGCAGAGAAGAAGTCCAATTGCAAGCTTTCGTTTGATGCTGAGCTTGACGGCCCACAATAGTGGTAACGGTATCGATACAATGAGGAAATCCGTTCTGTGGTAAAGGCTTCGTCAGTACTAGGTATCAAATCTTCGATTGTTTGACGCACGAGATATTGAGTACCACTAGACTCAAGTAGTTGGCAACAGCCAAAGTACACTCATCTAATTTATTATCAGCAACTTGACAGATCTCTTTTGTCCTGGCAATAAAGGACCTCCTGGATAAGGGACCACCTGCCAGTTTCTTTGAACTGGCGTACAATGGCCCCAAATGACAGATATGACACCAACATAAGCTATCCCTGTCGCTACGGCTGTCCATTTGACAATCTTCTGCTGTCTTGTAGCAAGCCTATATCATGATGTCAGAGATGAGATCAACCCCGATTTCTGAGGACATGGGGGTAACACGAACGTGATACGACTGAAGAAGAACAAAATGCAAGCTTTGAGACACCAAATGAGAGTGACATAAAAGTTCCAGCCTGCCAGCAGGCACTTGGAACCAAACTCAAACTTGGCTATTTCCTCTGACGTCAACGTTGCGCCGATATCGTTCGTGATTCCGATGTTGGTTCCATTTTGGCCTGTCCGGGTATTAAGTGTCAATGTCGTATCGACCCAAGAAGCATTGGGGGATGCTAACCTATAAGCTCCAACATGCAAAGCTCCAACTTGAAGTGGAAGTTAGCCGCGGAACGTAGACGCCAGTCTGGAGTCTGAACTGTCGATAGCAGGGCCAATATAAGGCGCACTTACAGTCCAGAAGATCAAGCATAAAATCGCAAAATAATCGTCACCTTGCCAATTGAAGCCCACAATTTTCCATCTAGCAAAGATGCGAAGGAGAATAATCAAGACACCGAGCCCATACTCAGTCCATGCCTCAGTCTGAAAAGGGGTCGCCATATTCCTGAAGGTGACTGAAAGAGTGGCAAGTCCGAACGAGTGAGCAGAGAGACTTTTGATCAAGTAGAATCAAATCGCGAAGGGGACCTGCTCAATCTGCATTCTGTCGGACATGTTCAAGATCAATGCTGGTTCACGGAAATTCTCGGATTAAAAGCCGCATCTTTTGGTTTAGCTCCGTGTCTCCAGTGCAGTTACGTACGCCATAGCCCCTATGTCTGGGCGAGGCTTGAATTCTCTCACCCTTGGCTGTGATAGACATACGCATTACGAACAAGCCCAGAAAGTTTTCGCGACGTCGGATTGAGGATTTCGGTCCCTGCCTAGTCCCGATGAAAGTTCAAACGGCCTCCTTATTACAACCTAACCAGCTCAACGCGATGATAGGGATCGGCATTTTGAAGGAGCTCGAGACTCTCGTACAGGCCCCGGTCAACGAACCCTAGCAGGAGTGGTACGCTAGGTTGTAGAGCAGCATCACAGAGTGCTTTGGGGATTACAGGATACAAGGCCTTTTCTTGGCAACCGTTGAATTTGGATTCCAAGCCTTCCTGTGCCGAGGATGCGCGGGATAATTGTATGATCAATCTTGTAGAGACAGTCTCATCCGTGTTATCTACCTAGAGGGGCCGTGTTGACATCCTGGCTCCTGACCAACCCTGATGCCTATCCCTCACTACCTGTGAGGCTCAAGTCTCATTCGGCGTCCAGTCCGAAAGCTGTCTGGGGTTTGCCGCTGTGACATAGCCCGAAAGAGAAAAGTATTCACTGAACATCTCCCCTTTTTTCTCCTATCCGGTCTGGCTACTTGAGTGTTGGCACTCGTTTTGGTCCAATAACACTTGATCTTGTCCACATGCCCATGCATAAGTCCCATGACAATGTGGTACTCGGAACTGCAAGGTCGAACCGGAATTGCATGGAACATCAATTCCTCTGGATCAGCGGAAACAAATCATCTTACGAGGTGAACGCTGCCAAGCAAGCCCCCAAGAAAGAGGGGTAGGCTTGCAAGCCGATCAACCTTGCATGTGCGCCATGGATATCCCCCTCACACTAAATGCCTAGTAGCCTCAATGTCTTAGAAACGCGCATTAACGTCGCAGAGAGTTGACAAAATGGGACGATACGACCCTTTAATACTGGAACATAAGATAGGTTCTGAATGTCTGGTAGGTCTACCCTCTTTGGTATCGTCGTTGGGCCCATTCTCGGCGTAAATTTCCCATGCAACCCTATCAACCGGGCCGATGAATATTGGCATTTCGTGATTTGATCCACACGTTTCCCGGCCAAATGGAGTATGCCGTCAGGAATGGAAACCTCATTAGCGCCTCTCCCGTTCGGCCCCATCTCCCGATGTTTCTCAGGTCTGTCCCACAACGATTTTCCCACGGGGGCCCCAGGATTTGGCGGGGGGAACTAAGCTCCAACCACAGCCAACGCTTGTTATGCTCCCCAGAACTCAAAAGCCACAACTAGTAACTTTCCGTCCGATCACCCAGTTCCGATTATAACAGAACCAAATTTGGGAGGCAGTGTTTCTTCTCGAACAGTTCAACGTCTTGAGGACAAAAACCCTTCCTGATCAACAGTCGGCTCATTCAGGCTGATCAACGACCAACTTCACTCGGCTGTGCCGCTGAAGACTCGGATGCAACTTTGATGGCAGCACGCCCAGCTGCTGTGCCGCACCCTTACTGTGTCGCTTAGGTGGAGACATTTGGAGGTGATGAACCGCTGTACCAACGCCGAGCAAGATCGTCGGGTTTGCAGGGTCCAAATTCTCCCCAACGGTCCAAATCAGGCCCCGGTATCAGGGCTCCCATGGAACCCAAGACCTTCAGGATGCTGTTTCCAATTTTCCAACCAGTCCAACCTCATGCCTACATGTATATCTGCTCTGAAAGGTTCTGATTGGTTGTACGTAAGAGAGTGATCTTCATTTTCTACTCGTCGGTGCCTAAGGTAACACGGTAGCGCCGTGTAACTGGCACAAGTCCAGAGTCCCAGTAGGACTTCCGCCTCGAAACGGTATTATTGCAACCAAAAAGACCCAAAACTGACAAGGGATCAACTAACAGCGTATGCGTATGCATGCACTCAGGGATATCCACACAAAATCATTCACTCTCCTGTCTCTTATCGAATGTTGAGGTGCGGATACAACTCCGCCACCAGCAGGCTCAATTTGGGCCTTTGGAAACTCCAAGTGGTGTAGATGCATGGATTCTAATACCGGACCCTGCATACCGCCATGGAATGCCTCCTTTTTGGACGGTCGCGTTTCCTTCTTCGGCTTTCGAGCGGCACTTGGCAGCGGCGCTGACTTCCCTAAGCTGTACTACTGGTGTTGGGTGCGTTCCCCGCACGTAGACTTCAGACGTAGCTCGAGGCGTGTGTGAGGGGCGTGGTGTTCGAGGAAGAGACCCCGGAATTGTTGTCGGAATTGCCAGTCAGTGTCCGAATACAAGAGCACCAGTCCGAGCTCCGTGGGCCATCCTGTGACTTATCTTCCATTTCTCTCATACCATCAGACGCTATTCCCCACGAGCTCAGACTTACAGTGCAGCCATCATCAATATGGGATCTTTACCGCAAGAGATTATTTACGACTTCATCGTATGCGGGTAAGTCTATTGGGATGAAGTATATCTTTCTATGCCTGAGCCAGTGGCTGACATCAAGTCCTCAAGCGGTGGTACCTCCGGCTGCGTCGTTGCGAGCCGCCTTGCTGAGATTCCTAGCGTGAATGTTCTAGTCATCGAGGCTGGTGAACATAATGAGAATCTTGAGAATGTTCACATGACAGGAGGGTAATTAGTCTTTTCTACTAACAGAGTTGATTGCGACCTAACATTTTAATCTTAATCACAGATGGTCGCAACTATTTGATAAGGATACAGATTGGAACGTCATCAGCGAGAAGAAGCCTTCAGTCAACAATCGACAGGTTAAACTGAGCCGCGGAAAGTTCCTCGGCGGCTGTTCTGGCTGCAACGGCACTCTATGCATTCGTGGTGCCAAGCAAGACTACGATGACTGGGGAGTCGAGGGCTGGACAGGTGACGAAGTATTTAAATACATTCGAAAGGTCAGTAATGGTTCCATATCCTGAGGCTATTTGTTTTTGACCTCACTGTTCCCTGGTTCAGCTTGCGATTTACCAGATCTTTGCAAGCCACTAATCTCTTGTGAACTAAAGGCAGAGAACTTTCACGGAAAACCTTGGTTTGAAGCCTCCAAAGACCATGGCACTAACGGCCACCTCAACATCGAACCACACGACCTCGCTCCTATCTCAAACCTCATCATGGACTCCATGGTATCCAAAGGGCTGCCGCTAGACCACGACATGTTTTCCCACGGAGAGAATCCCCATGGATGTGGACATGCACCTAGAACAGTCCATAAGGGCTTGCGAACCACTGCCGCAGACTTCGTCACGAAGGAAAACAAGAAGGACAACCTTCACCTTCTTATCGAGACTCATGTGGAAAAGGTTATCATTGAGAAGGCGGACGGTGAGCTCAGGGCAACAGGTGTTAGGGTCATCAAGGCCGATGGCTCCGTTGTCGACATCAAGGCCCGCAAGGAAGTCATTGTCAGTGGCGGCGCGTACTGCAGCCCCAATATCCTGAACCGGTCTGGTATCGGGGCCAAGGCCGAGCTCGACAATTTCAATATTCCGACGTTGGTTGACTTGCCCGGCGTTGGCAAGAACCTCATGGACCATCTCGTGAGTGACCCATTGCGTGTATACCGAGGGATTTATCTAACATATCCTGCCTCAAGATTGTCTTCATGTTTTACGAAACCGAAAAGGCTGGCCTGACCAACGACCACCACGTCTACCACGGCGATAACTTCGCAAAGACGTACGCCCTCTGGAAGGACCAGCAAGCAGGCTTTCTGTCCACATTCCCCTTCGGAGCATTCGCTTACGCCCGTCTGGACGAGCGCCTCGCTGACTCGGAGCTTTGGAAGAACGCCCCAAGGCAACCGGGCCGCGACCCAATGGGCCTTACGCCCAAGCAGCCAAACATTGAGTTCTTCACCACTGAGTGCTACGGAGGTCCGAAGCAGTATGACCAGTTCCCGACCGACGGTAAGTATGCCTTTAGCATGATTGCAGAGCTCTTTGGGCCTCGGTCTCGCGGCACGGTTGCGCTTCGCGACACCGATGCCAAATCTGTCCCAGTCGTGGACACGAATTACCTCTCTGATCCATTGGATGTGGAGGTTCTGGCTGAGGCGTGCCGCTTCGGTAACGAAATCATCATGGAAGGTACAGGAACCAAGGATATCGTCAAGGGGTCTTGGCCGAGCGATTTGGTGCATCACAAGCACACTACTCGCGAGGACTGGATACCCTATGTCCGGGACAACGCAACGACCTGTAAGTTCTCTCTGATTACCCTCACTCGCAGCTTTCTAACTAGTTTTCTTCTTCGTAGGCTACCACGCTGCGGGAACTTGTGCCATGGGCAACGCCTCTGATCCCAAGGCGGTTGTCGATCCAACACTCACAGTGAAGGGTGTCAAAGGCCTTCGAGTTGCTGACTGCAGCATTATGCCCGTTCTTAATGGCGGCCATACCCAGATGCCTGCATATGGAATCGGAGAAAAGGCGGCTGACCTTATCAAGACGGCATGGAAGCTATGAAACATTATTAGCGGCATGAGTTGAAGAAATAGCAAGCAGCATGTAGATTTCCTGTATTTAATGAATGTGTCAAAGGGCGTCGTTCGTGCCCAACAGCTTATTCTCTCTTAAATACTGGCATCCATTCTAGAGGAGCATCGATCTCGATCCACTTTCCACCCTCGTACGTGTCCGACTTCCCCTCGAGGAGTGGCTTCCACTTGCCTCCTGCTTCTAGCTGGGGGAGATAGACCTTGATGTTCCTCTTCTCCGCCTCCAGCACCGGGCACACCAAGTACTTGCTGCCAAACATATACTGCTGACCAATCTTCCAAGTTTCCTGGTCCTTCGGAAACTCGTAGAAGAGCGTTCGCATGACAGGCGTGCCTTTCTCGTGCGCCTCCTTCATCAGCGAACGCGTGTAATCACGCAACTCCTCTCGGAGAAACATGTACTTCTTGCAAATCTCATAGACCTCAGGCCCATAAGACCAAACCTCATTTGGCGCGCCGCTATGGCATTCAGCGCCCCCCGTCGTACCATGCTGGGGCTGCTCAGGCTCCCGACATCCATGGAGACGGAAAACGGGACAGAAAGCACCCCATTGGAACCACCGGACGAACAGCTCACGGAATTTTTCATCCCTCGGGTCTCCGCCGTGGAAGCCACCGATATCAGTCGTCCACCATGGAAGACCGGAGAGGCCCATGTGTAAGCCAGCTGCGACCTGGTTGCGCAGACTTCCCCAGGACGAAGCAATGTCACCGCTCCAGACTAAGGCACCATACTTCTGACTTCCAGCCCATGCACATCGGATGAGGTTCACAATGTTCTTTTGACCTTCAGCTTCCATTCCCTCGTAGAAGGCCTTCGCGTACTCGACGGGGTAAATGTTGCCGATTGAGACGTTGGATCCCAGGTGGTACCGGTACGTGTCGAAATCGTAGACTGTGTATTCGGGTTCGGCCTCATCCAGCCAAAAGACACGGATGCCCTTGTCGTAGTAGTTTTTCTTGGCCTTCTTCCATACGTAGTCTCTTGCTCCGGGGTTGGTGGCGTCAAAATGCGTCGTATCGCCCTGGAAGTTCATGGCAATCCGGATGCCTCTGTCAGACTGGATGAGGTACCCCTTCTCGACCATCTCATCCCAGTTCTCAGACTTGTGATCAACAGTGGGCCAGATGGAAACCATCAGTTCAATCTTGAGCTCCTGCAACTCCTTGATCATGGCATCCGGGTCGGGCCAGTACGTCGGGTCGAATTTCCACTCTCCCTGCAGCGGCCAGTGGAAAAAGTCAATGACAATGAGATCAATGGGTAGCTCGCGTTTCCTATACTCGCGCGCAACTTCCAAGAGTTCTTCTTGCGTCTGGTATCGCAGCTTACATTGCCAAAACCCGAGGCCGTACTCTGGCATCATCGGAACCTTGCCCGTGGCGTCGGCGTAAGCCTCGACGATTTCGGCCGGGGAATCGCCAGCGACGATCCAGTAGTCGAGGGCCCGAGTTGACTTGGCCTCGAAACTCATAATGTTACGGCCCAGAATTGCTCTACCGACTGACGGGTTGTTCCACAAAAGGCCGTACCCCAGCGAGGAGACGGCGAACGGGACACTGGCCTGGGAATTCCTGTGAGCGAGCTCGAGGTCGTGGCCCTTGAGATCCAGGAATGGCTGTTGGTACTGGCCCATCCCGAAGATCTTTTCCTCCGCATCGACGCTCTCGAATCTCGCAGTGAGGTGATAGTCGTTGCTGTTGACGATGGCGAGGAACTCGCGTGCCTCAACGTCGAGGGCGCTGCACTTGGGATCCAGGACATCCCGTCGGTGGCGCGAATATTCCTCGAGCAGCAGCTCGCCCTTTGAGTTCCATATCATGAGCTTGCCACCGCTGGTTACGGAAGCCTTGATCTTGCCGTTGGTGATTGTACCGGCCTTGTCGTCAATGGTGATCTTGACATCTGCTTTCTTGGGCTTGAGCAACGCCCAGTCTTCGATAGGCATCTCACGAGCCTTGGTAGCCCGAACTCGAAAGGAATCTAGGCCCCATGGTTCAACCCAGACTTTCTCTGCGTCGTAGGTGTAGACGAGCTTCCCATCCTGCTCTAAAAGACCCATGATGATCTAGCTCTCGTAGGTGAATCACGGATTACAAGATGATGCTTTGGTGACCGGGGTGTTGAAGAAGCCTTAAACAGTGCAGTGATGTACAAGCACGGAGACAGGATGATGAGGGGTAGCTTTCCATCCATCGGATGCAGCTTCTTCTTGTACATGTAGCATGCAGAGCAGAACTACTCGTGACCTAGCAGAAGAAGACCCCCGACTGCGGAGTTGCTCCTGTTGCCATGAGACGATAGATGAAAAGCGCAGACCGAAACGGTGCCACGACAAAAGACAGATGACATGCCACGCCTCCAATTGACCACTCGGATGCCGTGAAAGCCGCCATGTCCACTGCGGCCATCGGGATGCCCCGCATCTGCCGGATTGAGGGGAAGTTGGGGGTCATGTTTGGGGTCATTGATGCTACGAATGATCCGCATCCGCGGACTCAAGGTTGAAGATAGTTTTAGAATGGTTATTAGGCTATTCGGGGGAGCAACAAGTGCAAACTCTAATATAGCTGGAGATCAATGTTCCAACTACCACCTAGCCCTTGGGCTGGAGTAATCGACGACAACAGCTGTATGCATACATAGTACATGAGGCAGAATCGCCTTTCCATACTTCAACGGGTATCATTCCTCAGTAGTTCTTCGACAACTGATCCATAGCTCAAACACACACCGGGCCCCTCCATTACTTGTGCTTCGTAGCAAAAGATTCTCTCGTGTTGACTCTGTCAATGTCGTACGGGTTTCCGTCGTAGGACTTCCGGCGTGTCGAGGCCAGGCTCATCGTCCGTCGTGTGTGATGCGTGCTCTGGCGGTGCATGGATGACCGATCGTCAGAAGATGACGCATCCGAGTCGACAGTATCGCTTGCCACGGTTTCTTGTCCACCGCTAACTTCCGGTTCCTTATCTGAAGACGACGTATCCTCTTCCCGCAGCCGCGCCATGAAAGCCTCTGATTGTGCGGCAAACTTGCAGCGTGCTCGGATGGCGGGACCATACTTGTAGAACAAGAACGGGAAGGGAACGCAAGCGAGAGCCAGGAATGCGGGAATCGACGACGCCCAGTTCGTGCCGAGGTCTTTGTACATGTATGTCGTGAACAGAGGGAACGCAGCGCCGAAGCAACTACGGATAACGGAGTTGGCAGCGAGCACACTCGCCGCGAAGATGGTGTAAGCATCGATGAGGTAGTTCATGACGCTCAAGAACAGCAAAACCATTCCGAATCCGAACGGGACGCCAGCGGCGATGCTGACCATCCAGTGGATGTCGGCGTTGTTGGTCCAAGCAAACCAGAACAGACCGATGGGAATCGCCACGCCTCCGACCATGGCTGATGGGAGACGGGTTTCCGGAGGAGCAAATCCGCCGTTCCTCTCTTGTACTCGCTTGTACCGACCGTTCTCGGGTAGCGTGTAAATAATGGCGAAAACCATGCCGACCATGATGCCGAGGAATGCAAGTCCACCAATTCCCTGTGACCATCCTCGTTCTTGCTGATAGACAATAGGGAAGGCCGCAAATAGCATGTAGAGAGTTCCGTAAATGATGGCCATGTAGAGCGATAGGAGCAAGACAATGGGCTCTCGGAACAGCAGGATCCAGGGCCTCGATAGGGCCGTCTTGAACGACTCTGCCAGACTGATCTTGCCCTGCTCGTGTTCAATCTTGCTGACATAGACCTTGCCAGTCATCTTGGAAAGTTTCGCAGCTCGCTGACGAAGGAGATACGGCGCATAGGTCTCGGGGACGAGAGCCGCACCCAAAAGCCAAAGGGTGCCAGAGAACGCAGCCAAGAAACCCATGACCCATCGCCAGCCCGCCGCGGCCCCGAGGAATCCACCGATGATGGGTCCCAAAACAGGTCCGAGGAACGGCGCAGCCGCGAACAAGGCCATCGCCAAGCCTCTGTCGGCGGCCGGGAACATGTCAGCGATGACACCGCCCGAGTTGGCGAGTGGAGATGAGCCAAAGGCACCGGCGAAGAAGCGAAGGACGATGAGAGTCGTGGCCGAGTTGGCACCGGCGCAACCGGCGTTGAATGCCGTCAGGATGGCATAGGTGCCAAAGAAGAGCGATTGGCGTCCGAAGAGTTCACTGAGCGGTGCCCAAAGTAACGGTCCAATGGCGAATCCGAGCACGAATAGGGAGACGCCCAAAGTCGCGACTTCTTGGGAGATGCCGAATTCAATGATGATTTGACGTATACCACCCGTGTAGGCTGATGAGAGCAGTGCTACTGCTAATGTGGTCAACGACACCATGAATGTGATGAACCATTTCGTCGCTTTGCTGAATAGCATCGGGTTCCTGGGATCGTTGGGAATCCATTGCACCAGGAAGGGATCTGCCTCTGTGCCGGACCCAGGATATCGATAGTCGGCTATATCCTGTGTTATCCCTGCTTGATCGGTGACTATGCGCCAGTATGGAATTTTCGTGTGGACGGGAGGCTCGCCAACATCGTTGGCTGCCTTTTCTTGCGCCATCGCGAGCTCGAAATGGTGATAGACGCGTCTAAGAAACTTGTGGGTACACGCCAGAGAGAAGAGTCGAGAGAAGAGGAGCAAGAAGGTCGAGCCAAGTGAGAGCGGAGGACGGATATGCCAATGGAACAGGTGCCAAGAGCAAACGGCGAGGGGGGCTAGGGGGGAAATAAGCCGGGGACGAATTGTATTTGTAGGGTAGTCAAGCAGAAAGAAAATCACACACAACCATCCGTACAGGGAATGACGAAATATACAGGATCACAGGGTCCGAAATAAAACGGCTTACGGGCGGGAATGGGAACCGAATGTTGCTGAATCCCGTTTTACCGTGCCCACTACACGCGCCGCTCCGGGTGGCTTCGCCTGTCGGATCGATCTTTTGTCTGCATTGCATACGCATACACGGTGCACATCTTCCAGATCTAGTGCTCACGATCCCGTAGTTGCCGAGACGAACACCCGGGTCGCCATGTTCTACTCTGGATAGCTCCAGCCCAGTGCACTGAATCAGTGAATAAAACCCCCGTACGTGCGTGGCACTGCAGGTATGGTGCTTTGAAATCGTGGTGACGACAGAGATGTTGTGTTGGTGCGCCCTTCTTTGAGTCTTTGCCGGTGCTGGTGGGACAGCCCGGCTCCGACTAGGCTTAACTCCGTCGTCTAGCGTGTAGAGGTGTGGTCCGGCAGCATAGCTACCCGCCGTGTATTCATAAAGTTATGCAAATCCGGCCCCCGAAAGACGCTTCAGGTTGTCTCTCTCCCTCGGAAATACATGTAACCACCCCTGAATTTCTCATACTCATTCCGTTGAGGTGGTGATGGAAGCCTGATGTTATATTGCCTCCCTCGTGTTTCGGAAGGACCCTGAAATAGATCAGATTGGGACCTTGAGATTTACGAGAGATACACGGTTACATGCATCCAGGTGGCAAGTTAGATTGGCGTTGGCAATCTTCATTCAGTTGTCGTCTATTCTTCTTAACTCTAAGACCACAGACCACCAAAGTACAGCATGAAATTACAATGTGACTATCTGGTATTGGTGGGAGGAAGTTCATCTGAGTAATTCACTCTGTCAGACTTGTCATTGAAATTGATGGACATTTCTTTTTTAAAGTTTTCCCCGCGGATGCTACGTGTGCCAAACCCGCTGCGGCTTGCGGGGACAGCCCGGTTACCATCGTTCTGGAACATCGAACACGAACTCCGTCTGTGTATGCATTCAGCTGTCGGAATCTTTTCTTCTGCCTATATATTAGCGTTTCCTCTCTCCGATCCGCATCGCACCGGAGCAAGCTTGTGGAAGCGGGAATTCTGGAATGTGAAGTTGATTGGGCTGTTTTGATGCACGAATAAGGCCAGACTGACCGGTGCGACTCAACGAGTCATGGACCGGCATATTCATAAATGTGTATTAGACCCGCTTTTCCGGAACGGCCTGCCTCCGGCGCATCTGCATAACTCACGGGCTGTAATTCGGAGTCGGGACGGGTTTAGGACCTAACGCCAGAAGGATCGCATTAGGTACAATAGTGAAGCAACACTAGGCAAGGATGTCAGATCTTTCCAATTTCAAAGAATGCATCTCCCAAGGTATTGGGTATTCTTTGATTTTCTAGTGCATGCGACACTCACAGCGTAAGTCAGATTGCAACTTCGCTTCTAGAAACCATGCCCACTTGCTAAGAAGTCCCATATGTTTACGTGTACATTACCTATGCTCAGGTCACATTCAGCAAAGTTCAGTCAATTTGTTGAATCCACTTTCAGCTTCGTTCAGAATATTTGAGTTTCATTTTCAAGCCGACGGGAGCAGGCTATCTCGAAGTGTAACCTCCATCAACCATCAGTGCAGACCCAGTCACAAACGAACTCCTACCGCCAGCCAAGTACAAAACACCATCGGCAATCTCCTTTGGGCTTCCCATCCTCTGCATCGGCACTGCAGTGGAAACTCTCTCCTCCATCGCCTTCAGCACCTCGGGATTCTTGGTCGTCATCGGCGTCTCTGTGTATCCAGGGCAAATGGCGTTGATGCGCAAGCCCTGGTTGGCATAATCCTCGGACGCAGTGCGCGTCAAACCGATGACGGCGTGCTTCGTCGTCGTGTATGCCGTAGAGAGTGTGATACCCACAACACCCTGGATAGAGCCAAAGTTGACAATGGACCCCTTTTGCAAAGGTCTGCCGTCAATTGTTGACAAAATAGGCTCTTGCTTCAACATAATCTGGGCCGCTGCCCTGAGCACGTAAAACGTTCCGTTGATGTTTACGTCGAGAACCCGTTGCCAGTCTTCCGTCTTGGCGAACGCGGCGCCGCCCTTGTGCTTGATGGCGATGCCGGCGGCGTTAACAACATAGTCTAGCCTGCCAAACTTGGCTGCTGCTTCGTTGACGACCTTGATGACTTCCTCCTCGTTGGCGATGTTGATGGGGTAGGTGAGCAACTCAATCTTGCGGTCTTTTCCGAATTCGGCTTCGATCTCGTCTTTGACTGTCTTGAGTGCGTCTGCGTTGAGATCTAGTAATGCAATACCGGCGGAGCCTTCTTGGGCGAAACCGCGAGCACATGCTCTGCCGATGCCAGAGGCTGCGCCTGTAACCAGAGCAAAGCCGGGGACATCCATGTTATGTGATTAAAGAGGTTTTGAGGAGGAGTAATTGATCAAGAATTTAGAAGTCGTGGTTGGGAAAGCTCAAGGGGATTAATGTCATGCAACTTGTCTATAATGATGTGCTCAAAGTTCGTTGATGGCAACCTCAATAAGTAGTCCATCATCGCGATGTTGCGCCTTCGGTGTTCTTGGGTATCGGGTGTGGCTTTCCATTGATGCTCAGGTAGGACTTTCCCCATTTGATTCGGGTGTGTCTCGACTCCACCTACGGCGACCAACTCCCCCACCCGGTGCTCGGCGTCTGCGGGGTCATCCCGAGAAGCCGCGTTGGCCGATCATCTTGTGCGTCAGCTGCTCTTATCAAAAGACTTAATGTGACACTTCTTTATGGGCCAAGCCTTTGGCCACTGGCGGGGTGGAAGAAAGATAGAGACGCGTTTTACCCCGCGGCGATATTCAGATCAGCATTTGGCCGCACGCGCCCTATCACCAGGTCCTTGGTGTTAGTAAAGGGACCCGATATCGGATACCACGCATGTCATGTTCCGCGCGGATGTTAGTCAATGACTGATTAAACCTGACACTCTGAATCAATCGAAGTCATTGTCTTTCTATGATTGATATTTACGTTTCATAAGGCAGTTGATATCACGCAAGTGAGGTCACAGCCTTCATCTTAACGACACCGCGTTGTAATGATGGGCTTCTCCAGGTCTGCAAGTGACTAAAGTTTGAGCATGCTACTATGACACATCGCAGAAAGTATTTCATCTCGATTACATTTCTATGACTAGACCATATGATATTTTGATCTTCTATCTGGATTCGGGTTTTCTGAAAGTTGCTGAACTTGAGGCTTTAGCCAACCTGTAGAGTTTTCAATTCAACGAGCGAGCCCATGGCATCGTCTTCAACTTTTCCTAAACCTCTTCTAACGCTAGTTGAGACTATTACGAAATACAGAATCTGAGGCGATGAGACGACACGGAGAAGGAGGTAAAGTTTCAAACTTGCGATGATGCCTAACTTGTACATGAAAGCTGATAGGGGGGATCAACGTCTATCGAATTTTAAAATTGAATTGCGAGCTTGAATCTACAACTTAACACCTTTAGCCTGTCTAGCAAAGGTAAGCCCCTTGTAGCCAGATTCTTTAACATCCCTGCACCGCCTCTGGAACTCCTGCGCAGATCCACCATATCTAACAACGCTTCTAACCTGCTTGCCCTTGATGTTCGTGTTGACACCCGTCATCCAACTGTCAACCTCGTTGACAAGTGAACCCTTGCTGCATTCAAACACATGTTCCGTCCACCCGTCCGCAGCCTCCTGTGTCGCCTCAGCATAGGTGTACCCCTTATCACGGCAAAACTTCAACAAGTCTACAACAACCTGCACGGCATGCTCGATGTTTCTCGTCGCGTTGCCAAACGGCTGGTGCGGGCCTAGAACCATAAGCATGTTGGGCATGGAGGGCACCGTCATGCCAAGGAATGTGTAAGGTCTGTTGTCGACCCAGACGGCTCGTTCGCCCTTTGGCGTCCCGCTCGGCGCAATCAGTGGCCGTCCGTCTTTGCCTTGCCACTCAATTGCGCTGAATGAGCCCGTAATGGCATCAAAACCAGTGGCGTAGATCAGAATATCGAGCTCGTGCTCCTTGCCGTCGGATGTGATTATGCGGTCAGACTTCACCTCAGAGACCGGGGCCTTCTTGAGGTCAACGAGGTGCACGTTGTCTTGGTTGAAGGCCTCAAAGTAGCCGCTCTCCAACGGCACACGACGGGTGCCAAAACCATGTGTCTTGGGAATCAGAGACTCGGCCACCTCCGGATCGTGTACTCTTCCCCTAATCTTGTCTGCGATGAAGTTGGAATACAGCTCATTGGCTTGGCGATCCGTGTACGTGTCGCTAAAGAGGCCCTGCCACTTGCCAAAGCCCGGCTCGTTGTACAGCTTCTCCCAAAGGGCGAGCCGCTCTTCCGCCGTAACCTCCATGGACTTACGGGGGTCCGCCATGTGCATGAAGCCTGATGGCGTCGAGCGGCAGATGCCGAAAATGTTGTCATAGTCTTTCTTGAGCTCCTCCATCTTCTCTGGCGAGATTTCGTAGTTGCGCAAGGGGACGGTCCATGTTGCGGTTCTTTGAAATACGCTGATGGACTTGATGCTTGGCTCCTTTGAAAGTGCGGTGATGGTCTGGATGCCGGTGGCGCCGGTCCCGACAACGCCGATACGCTTGCCGGCGAAGTCGCGGGCAAGGTTCAAGTCTGTCGGCCACCGCGATGTGTGGAAAGAAGTGCCCTTGAAATTCTCAATGCCGGGGATAGCTGGTAGTGATGGTGTAGAAAGGAAGCCGATGCAGCTGAGGAAGAAAGTGGTGATGTATTGGTTGCCGTCCTGGTCGACAAATGTCCAGTTATGGGCATCGTCATCCCAGCGAGCTGATTTGACAGTGGTGTTAAACTGGATGTGTTTGTAGAGGTCGTTCCTCTCTGCGAAGCGCTTGATGTATTTGTGTGTCTCGGGCTGGGGGGAGAAGGCCTCCTTCCAATGCCATTCCTCCAAGAGACCCTTGTCAAAGGAGTAGCTGTAGGACACGGACTCGCAGTCGAACCGACATCCAGGGTAGCGGTTCCAGAACCACGTTCCGCCGACGTCTGCACCGTTGTCAAGGACCTTCACCCTGCAATCGGGCATTTGCTCCCGGATGTGGTGCAGACTAGCAAGGCCGGATAGACCTGAGCCAATGATGAGAACATCATAGGTCTCTTTCACAGGGGTTGGAATAGAGCCCATGATTTCCGGGGTGGTCTGAAGAAACAGATTGAAAAGAATCAAGTTGGATTTTGAGATTTGTCTGTGATGATCAAGTGCTGATAGAAATGCTTGAGGGGATGCTTCTTGTGCTACAACCACAAGATCCTATTCTTTGAAGTCTGTGAGATGTCTAAATAGCCAACGACTCGTCCTTGACATAAGGCCTTTCTCTTAGCAAATAGAATTCCGCTGAGAAAGTATCTGCACAACTTTCCCGTCCCATCTGTCACAACATTATTCGCCCAACTTGTTCACGTCAAACATCAGCCGATCCCGTGTGGGGCTTATCTGAGGTGGCGGCCCCGAATCGGGGATGACTTGCCAACTCTGGATTTGGATGGTGTTGACCAAAGTTCGCCTATCGGGACCCTCCCCCGCATCGATTAAGTCACAGGCTAGCTCCAAGGGAAACCCTTCCCTTAAGGGACCCTAGACAGACTCTACAACATTCCCGAGCATTCAAGAGCGTCGAATCATCGAGATGTCAAGCAGTCAGTATATCTATGGGTCATATGATGCAGCTGAGCGCTTTCCGAGTTGCCGCCGATAGGGCGTGTGAGTGCGGTACTAGGCAATCAATTTGTCACACTTCAACAACTTGGAGTCGCAGCTGAAATTGGGGTTTATGATACTATGTGCACGAAGAACACAGTGTAATTGGCATCCCGTAGCAAGACTGCAAACGGTTCCTGGAGACACATAGTTCTTTCAAATCAGATGAACACAACTTTGAGCAAGCACGGAGTCCATCATGAGGGCCCATTCAATGCGTTACTAGCCACAATACTGCTTCAATAAGAATTGGCGTACTTCTTACTATGCCTGAGCTGTACTACATGTATCTCGACACCTACAATTGACAATCATTGCCAAATCAGAGAAATCTTGCGCCACCATGCGTTCGAATTGCCTTGCTTCTCCTTCTCGGCCTCATCCATCGCCGTCCACATTTCGGCCTCTGCTTCTACCTCCCGCAAATTGGTCGACAAGTCAACATCTTCAGGAGCGTACAGCCAGGGATCCTTTCTTCCAACCGTGAGCTTGTGTCCGAAGTATGTAACCAGGAAAAGCGGAATGCCAATATACGCAGTTAGGAAGCTGGATGCAGAGAATCTTCCGGGGTAGAACACCGTGAATCCATTGGCAAAGAGGAGGAATCCAAATGCAATCATGGAGATCCACGCTCCGTAGGGTTGACACCACGACTGATAAGGGACCTTGACGCCCTGTACTTGGCAGGCCTTGCGGAAACGAAGGAAGATGAAAGCGCACAGCACCCAAGAGGTGTATCCAGCGGTGTTTGTCAGACTGACGAACCAGTTGAAGACCACGCCAGCATCTGAAGAGACGCTCAGGTACGCGAGGAGAGTGAAGCAACTCGATGCAAGGACGGCGTAAATGGGAAGCCCGTAGCTGTTGCAGCGTGTAAAGATTTTGGGTGCGTTGCCGGCAACTGCAAGAGAGTACAGGGATCTACTGGCCATGTAGAGGTATGAGTTTCCAGCACTCCAGGCGCTCGTAAGAATACCGGCGTTGACGACTGATGGTAAACCATTGATCCCGGCATTGCGGATTGCAATGACCCAAGGTGACGCGTTAGCATTACCAGCACCGGACACAAGGCCCTCGGAGTTGGAGTTGCAGATGGCTCCAATTGCCAACGAGCCGAGGAGGTAAAAAATGATGAGTCTGTAGAAGAACCGTCGGCTGGCAATGGGCAGGTTCTTGCGCGGGTTTCGCATCTCGCCGCCCATGACGATGATAAGCTCTGGGCTGAAGTAGAACGAGAAGCCGGAAAACACCCAACCATAGAGGAAGGCAGTAAAGCGACCGCCAGAGCCGGTAATGATGTACTCCTTGGTCGCACCTGGGTCAACCCAGTAGTAGAAACCCAGCCGTTCTCCGCTCGGCCCTCCACCAAGAATCAAGACCACTGAGAGGAGCAGAAGACCGATGAAGAGAATGATCTTCAGACTTGCAAACCAGAATTCAGTCTCTGCGTAAACAGTAACTGGCGAAAGGTTGAGTCCGACGACGACAACAAGGAGGATCGTCAGCCAGACGGCATTGTGGACGTTGTTTGGCCAGTAGTTGATAATGACTGAACCAACTGTGATTTCGTAGGCGAGAATGATTCCAAAAGAGTACACATAGAGCCAACCGAGAGCGAACCCAAGGGATCGAGAAGTGTAGCGGTTGCAGTAGTACGACATGGAACTACCCGAGATGGGGAGGAATGTGCCGACTTCCATCACAGCCGTGACTATGCCGTAAACAAGAAGAGACGTGAGGGCGTAGGCAAGGAAGAGAAACGCCGGTCCGCCAGCAGCGAGGACCTGGCCGGATCCTACGAAGAGGCCAGTTCCGATGCTGCCACCAATGGCAATCATCTGGGCGTGGCGCGACTTGACATTTCGCTTCGTGCCACCCTGGGCGACGAGATGAGTCTCGCCGTAGGTATTGCTCTCGAGTCGGCCGAGGTCTGAGTCGTGCATTTTGCCATCGTTGGCAGTGTCTGCGTAAGTTCCCTCCTTCGAAAAGGGGGTTGCCGTGTCGTTGTCTAAAGCCATTGTAGACTGGATCGACGAAGGGGATTCGGTGAGGTTGATTCAATTATGCATTCGAGGCAACTGAAGGAGTTGTTTGGTTGTCAAACCAGTGCAGGTAAAGTAGTTGAGTGCAGAGTCTCCTTCAACTGAAGTTAGATTTTGTATCGAGTGAGGGCATTCTGTTGTCTTTTAAACTACACATTACGACCACGTACACCGAATCCTACCCAGGTCCTTTAAGGTGAACCTTGTCTGGGCTGACAAGGGAGACCAGCACCGATACCACTTAGTGCCGACTCAGCTCGCTGTACCTTGGACGGAAGACATTGCAAGTCTTGGAAAAGCATGGATGGAGATAAGTTCCAGCCGTCCCTGTTCCTAGCCCATCCGGGGCATTAGGCGACTTGGCGAAGATACCAAGTGTGGTGTTCTCGAGTCAGATAGGAAAGCTTTCCCAGCTATCAGACGCCAAAACATGTACCCCAGGTTTACTATGGGGTCACCGGGTCGCTCGCTATTCCCCCCGCCCTTATCAAAGGCCCCCGCTCCAACGGATGCGCTAAAGCCGCGTTATGCATTTCGTTGCGCCCTATTGTATCTCTCCGCGGACATCAATCCCGTCGTGTTGGTACAATCCTTGGCTAATATGTTGCCCTCAGCCCCTTGATATAACTTTCCATATCCATTTGCGGAGTCCGGAGTATCAGCAGTTGATATCGCAAACATTCAACTCGCGCCAAACCCTCCTGACATCCTCCCAAGGCTCCCACAAACCAAACAGGAAGTGGAATCCCGAGCCATCTCTGGCTCACCCGGAATGGCCGATGCCAATAAAACCCGATTGTCTTTGCCCAAGGATGCGGACGCCCGGCGCAGTCGGTCCTTTGGCGGTTGTGGAACTGTACGTCATGCCATCCATCACGCTGGTGAACCTGTGACATCCGGATAGATCGTAGACTGGAATTAAGGCGCTGATTTGCTTCAGTGTCGAAACCGCCGGATGAAGTGTGACGAGGGTCGGCCTACGTGCTCCATGTGTAGGGCATCCAACCTCACATGCAGCGGCTATGAGAAGAACATCTTTTTCGACTTTGAGGAGACTCCGAGCGTCGGAATGGCGCGCTTTCGGAGACCCTTGTTGACAGAATCGGAACGCGAGTCAATGAGTGACGAGCTCGTCTCCAGCATTCCGCCGGCATTGACTCTTTGGCACATTGCTCAAATCGAGGATGAGTGCGAGAGGACACCACTGTCCCAAAGCGTCCAGATCAGTCGAGGTCCTTTCGGTGCATTCAGAGTACATCGACTGTCAATGGAATCTTCAAAGGTTGCGCCCGAATCCAGTCCAGAGTCAAATAATCCCACGGTCGGCAGCTCTCCAAAGGCTGCGAAGGAGATCGGGGAGGGCAGTCCTGAAGAGGCAGACGAAGAGCTCATGAATCCACCAGACGCCTCTTCACCACAAGAGACAACGCCGTTACTTGGGCCTGCCCTTGCCTGCTTGGACCATCGTCCATTGAGCCCATTGACTGAATGGTGGAACACGAATGAATGGTGGAACATGGGCGATCTCCCAGATATGAACAACTGGTGGGACACGCCCGTGGACCTAGACCGCGTACGCGATATATCCGACAGTGTCTCTTTCTCTGGCATGGAGCAATATTCGAGGGCACCCATGCATGTTGCTTCCCAGGATGTTCAAGTTTGTATACCGAGCATGTTCACAGACACCCAGTCTCAACAACTAGCTACGCCAGACAACTGCTCCATCGCGCCGACAATCGACTACGCCGTTCCTCACGATGCCGTCTTCCTCCTCAGACACTACTCAACAACGGTCCTCCGAGGCTTCACACCCTTCCGCCACAGCAAAACGCCATGGCATATTCTGTTCATACCATACGTCAAAAGTTGCCTAGCAGCACTGACACTCGGAGACGACATGGATCACGCCAGCCTAACGGCATTCTACGGCACGCTCGCCATCAGCGCCTCCAGCCTCGGTGGCATCTCCAACTCGCGCAAGTGGTCCGAACAGGCAAACAACTACAAGCAGCGCGCTCGCCACCACGTCCGGCTCATGCTACAAACGGCCTACGATGTTCCCAAAAAGGCAAAGTACAAATCGATACTGATTGCGTTTCTGACAATGGTACAAATCTCGAGCGTCTCCGGCAGCCGTGATCAAGTGGAGTGCTACCTCTTGGAGGCGGAAAAGTTTATACGCGTCAATGGGCTCAACAAAAAAAAGTCGCGCAAGGTCCGACTGCTGCATCACTGCTACGCGTTCGAGCGGGTTTTGCACGAGACCACATTCCCCGGGAGCACGCAGTCTCCTCACCGTCTTCATGTGCGCAAGGTGATTGAGACCAGCAACGCGAGTGCCTATAGCTTAGACAGCCTATCGTTCCAGCTAGCGAGCTGGAGCAACCTGGACCAAGAAATGCTCAAGGTCAAGGGGCGGGAAGAGGGGGAGAACGATCTCCATCTCCAGATCCCGGGTGTCTGGCTCGCAACACTGTATCCGGAAATCTTTGGTATCCCAGAGATCTACATGTTCCTCCTCTCGCTCGTTATCCGGCTAGCTCGATCAAAAGAAGACCCGGAGTACTCGAGTCCCGCAGGTCTCAAAGAGTTCATGTTCCGCGCCAAGGCAGTCGAGAGACGTATCCACCAACTCAGACGGCAGCCCGGGTACGTGATAGCAGACTTGCCCACCTCGGACCCGGAGATGCAGCACTGCCAGCAATTTCTAGATAACCTCTCGCAAGCCATGCTGTTTGCCTTGACTATATTCTTCTATCGGAGGGTTTACGACGTGGAGGCGGACATGTTACAGGATAAGGTCGTCGGTGTTCGGGATTGCTTGCTGCGGTTCGAGGCAACCGAGTCTGAGATGGGGTACGGGTCGGCCAGGCTGGTGTGGCCTGCAGTGATTGCGGCGAGCGAGGCGGATGACCCAGAGGTGCGGGAATCGTTTGCACAGTTTTTCAGGGACTGGGCGCGTCGGAGCGGTCTTCGTATCTTCAGCGATTCTCTCGCGGATGTCGAGAGACGATGGGCCGAGAGGGAATCTGTAGATAGCGGCGCCGCCACCGAGGCCATCTTGATATTGTAAAATGCATATTACTGGCTGTCCTGCATCTTCCGGTTTCAAATCCAGATTGATTTTGTGTGTAAGTAGGTTGCAGTCTTGCAGATGATGGAGGGTATGTGGCTGGATTTGCTGTCGAGCAGATAATGTTCGACTTACCCCTTTTGGTGGGGTCTTTGCCACTTCTGCAAGGGGATAACTTTCCTATTCTACGCGAGCTTCTCCTGTGTAAGTCCTCCCCCAAGTACCCCGCGCTTCTTCATCAGAAACGATTTCCGCTCGGAAACCTGCCTACGGGGTATGGCTGTCATTATGCCGCAGACGGGTACCTCTACTTAATTAGAGGCACAAAGGGGGGCGTTCAGCATACTTGTTCATAGAGACCAGCTTCTCACAATCGTATCCTGGCACACGTTTACTTCACGCAAACACTAAATCCGACTACACCATGTCTTCATTCCAAGGCAAAGTTGTAAGTCGGGTAAACTACCCACTTCCTTGAATAGCATGCTCATGTAATCCTCGAATAGGTTGCTATCACCGGCGCCGGCTCCGGCATGGGCCTGTCGACGGCCCAGCTCCTAGCCTCCCGCGGTGCTAAGCTGTCATTGGCGGATATCAACGAGGACTCTCTCAAGGAGGCAATCTCGTCTCTTGAAGATAGTGCAAGCCATATGTACGAAGTTGTTGACGTAAGGAAAGGTGATGTCGTCAATGCTTGGATCCAAAATACCGTAAAGAAGTTTGGCAAGCTAGACGGTGCTGTCAACATGGCTGGCGTCATTACCCACGCCACGCCTGTTGCAGAGCTTACAGACAAGGATTGGGATTTCGTCTTTGAAGTCAATGCCAAAGGTGTCTTCAATTGTCTAAGGTCACAACTAGGAGTGATGTCTGACGGAGGCAGCATCGTAAGTTCCTTCCCGAAATCTGAGTCTCAGACCGGCTGCACGGCCGATGGAACCACAAGCTGTGGCCAGACGTATTTCAGAAGCTGACATAATGCTATCTTCGCAGGTATCTGCGGCGAGTGTCTTCGGTCAGTTTGGAGCTCCTGGCAATGCTGCATACTGTGCTAGCAAGGCAGCGGTAATTGGCGTGTCAAGAACAGCAGCCAAGGAAAACCAAAACATTCGCGTGAATTGCGTGTCACCTGGTAGGCCCCTTCTATTCTCTCGCCTTCTTGTCCTACGGCATCATCTACGCCAGTAGTCTCAAGAATGGTGATGGCACAGAACTAAGCTAATACTTGTCCACAGGCTCTGTCAACACGCCCTTGTCTCGTGGAGAAAATCCCGAAGATGTGAAGCGCGGTCTACAAGTAACTGCGCAGAAGAGAAGAGCAGAGCCTATCGAGATAGCTCGCGTTATTGCGTTTCTTCTTAGTGACGAGGCCTCTTTTGTCACAGGGGCTGTTTACAACGTTGATGGCGGTTGGGTATGCTAAGCGTCGTGCTGTTGGAACAATCAAAATGGCGCTTCTCAGGTCCTCTTTGATTTGATCCCTGTCAGGAGACTTATGATTTCCTTCAACGAAACTGTAAATTTGTTTCGAACTACCTACAACGCCCACATATATAACGCTTGAGAATAAAGCTCTTGGGTCACTGCCACGCTTAGAATGACGGTGCCCTCAATATGTTGATTTGAACATGTATGTTCTTGCTGAATAACAACCTCTGCGTAACTCTTTTCCTCTTTTCAGGATCCAAGGGACGATCTGCGACTGGCATCCATATCACCTAAGGACCCTGTTATTATCAGAGCTCAGGAGTCCCTGGCTTTCTTCAACATCCTCCAAGACGATGAAGGAGGATTTTTGGACTTATCATTACCACTGACTGACATTCGTCGATTCTTGATGCCAGAAACAGAATACTAGCAAGTGGCAGAGCTGGAATATTGATCTTTCGAATCGCATAGAAGATAAAGCTTCCTCAAGAAATGGCACCTTAGTTCAAGTTGATATGGTTGTCATTCATTCCAGAAGCATGATCCGTAGAGGAAGTCGAAATTGCTGCTGAATAGTAATCCTGTTTTCGGACAGACCTCGAAGCCTTTTGAATATGTTATCGAAGGCAAGCAAAGCGGCTGTTTTTCAAACATTCGATTGATACAACACATGTCTGGTGGGGTTCAGATAACACCTGAAACTCAAACCATCGAACTATCACAAAAATGGGAAGCCTTGAATAGCATAGAGAAATGAACGAGTAAAGATGAAAATCTACCACAACAGATTGAAGGGGGGAGACCGATCCACCTCGCATAAAGCCCCCTCTGTTGGACCTCGGCCAGACACAGGATCGTTGTCCAGACCATTCCAGTGCAAACAACGGCAATAGTCTAGCCTCCCAATTTCCCATCAGGGCGGATACTAAAGTTTCAGATCATGGTAAGATTATTAGAAAATACCACAAATCCCGTTGATGCGCCAACTCGGCCCGCATACGGATCGCCCGGCGCGGCTACCTCTGAACACATCGATTGACACATCAGACAGTCTGACAAGTGATGGACAGAATTCAGATCGGCTGGCTCCGCTGTCAAGCCCGAACCCTTGGCATCACGTTTTTTGCCCGATGAGTCGCGATACAGAAAAATAGTTGAGACAGATTTCGCAAAGTTTACACAATAGGGGATAGCTCCAGTTCATCTGGTCATCCATGTTTACCCACTTGACTTGCATTGCAGAAACCTGGCGTGCGCCTCCCCTCCTCCACCCCCAGACAACCCACCTGTTGTGCTTACATACCCCCCAAGTACCGGCCGGTTTGCGCATGCAGGCTGCACGACTCCAACGGTCGCTCCAGCTTGGCTGTTTCTCTTGGCCCTCGATGGGCAAACCAATAAGAACCTTCCATTGACTTGAGTCGTCGACTTTGCAACTCTGACTATGCTGCACTCAATCTGGCACCCCATGTATGCGTCGCCCGAAGCGACCTAGTCCGGCCTCTCAGAGCCGAGGCATCCAACATTGTCACCAAGAGAGGCGTTGCGGGGTGCTGCGGGGGGGGATTCAAGACTGCAGCTCTCTACCGGCTTAGGTCAGTGTGTCTTGTTACTCCAGAGCTTGGATCGCGCATAACCAAGAGAACCCTTTTGGAGAGAGTGGAGTAGATTCTGCGACAGATGGGTAAAGTGGTAACCTCCTATTCATCGAATCTCCAATAGAAGCTCTCGGACTATACCAAGCGCGGAAACTCTTGGTAAAGGGGGACATGGCCGTTTCTTGTTGGACGAGACACATAGTCGAGTTGTGCTCACCAACAGACACATCCATAGGACGATGAGGGCCAATTCGAGAGGCATCGTAAGCGGGCATATCCCCCCCTCCCCTCATTCCAACATCACCTCTGTGGCCTCTCTACAAGTCATCCAAGTCTTGTCCCGAGGTTTCTCGCAGTCTGCTGCAACCAAACAGACTCGCGGAGGTTCCTCCGAGCCATTCCCAATTCGATGTCCTGTCGCGAAATAGCAGCTCAGCCAGCTCTCACGTGGCATCGCTGTTCCTTGGAATTCTTGAACGCATCTAGCTTCACCGACTCCTAAACTTCTCCGACGTGGGGACAATGGCTTCTAGATTCAAGATGCGACTGGCGGATGAATCCAACGACCGTCACCGTCTCCATGATGTGATCATTCAACGAGCCCGGTTGGGGGAAGGTCGCGCTGCCTTCTGGATGTGCCTCACGGCCAGGCGTGTGAGTTGCGAGACATGGGTTGGCCACTTTCTCTAGGCATCGAAGATGTTCAAGCTGTAGATAATCTAGGAAAGAATTGCAACCTCGAACAAGATAAATAGTCGAGCAAGATCCCACCGGTAGACTCTTGATATCTTCGTTCCATCAGACTCAAGCTCTCGCTAAGAACCTGAATCCTCCTCTCCTTCGCTCGAAGCCTAGCCAGCCCGCTCTCACTCCAAGACCGTTCCCAACTTCCGGACTCCAAGACTCTTTTCGTTCTCCAAAAAAACCACATTCAAAATGAAGTTCTTCAGCATCCTCTCCCTCGCCGTGACCCTCGCCGCCGCGGCCCCAGTCGAAGTCGCCGACACCGCCGTCGCTGACCTCCAGGTCCGTCAAACGGGAGCGACCAGCAACGAGCTCGAGTCCGGCAGCAGCTCCGCCTGCCCCAAGGTCATCTTCATCTTTGCCCGCGCTTCCACCGAGCCCGGCAACATGGTAAGCCGATCAAACTTCTTCCACGTGAGCTAGGAAAAGGCCTTTCCCAAAACCTAACCTCGATCGATAAACAGGGAATCAGCGCTGGCCCCATCGTCGGCGATGCTCTCAAGAGCCGCTACGGCTCAAGCCAAGTCTGGGTTCAGGGCGTTGGCGGACCGTACAGCGCCGACCTGGCTTCCAACTTCCTCCCCGAGGGAACCAGCACCGTCGCCATCAACGAGGCCAAGAGGCTCTTCACCTTGGCCAACACCAAGTGCCCCAACTCCGCCGTCGTGGCCGGCGGATACAGGTTAGTTAGGCCTTACAGACGTCTCCCCCCATTTCCCTTTGCTCTCTGCTAATGTGGCTCGATGAACAGCCAGGGAACCGCCGTCATGGCCTCGTCCATCTCGACCCTGAGCTCGACGATCCAGAACCAGATCAAGGGCGTCGTCTTGTTCGGCTACACCAAGAACCTCCAGAACCTCGGCCGCATTCCCAACTTCCCCTCGTCCAAGCTGTCCGTCTACTGCGATGTTGCGGATGCCGTCTGCTACGGTAAGCAAGCCTTATCTTCATCCTCAAAGACGTCAGATGGGTGACTAACACCTCCAGGCACGCTCTTCATCCTGCCCGCGCACTTCCTTTACCAGACTGATGCGGCCATCGCCGCCCCTATCTTCTTGGCTGGTCGCATCGGTTAAGCGGCTTGAGCACGCGATCAGCTCCGCAACGATGGTGACTCGGATGCTCTAGGCTTTGATCGAGGAGGATTGTGATTGAGAACTGCCGAAGCATCGATTCCTGTGGAGCACGGGACTTGCTTGCTTGCTGGAGACGGAGTCTGAAGCTGGGCAGCAGAATGGAATATGGAGGGCTCGGGTTGGATTGCTGGAGCATGATACTCACTCGTTTACTGTCGCTCATTTTGTTCTTTTCATCTTTCTTGCCACTCACTTAGTTTAGCTGTTTCATGCTTCATGAACGCCCTGACGATGGACGAAATGCAAAGTATATTCTTATTGTTGCTAAATGGGTATCATTGAGTCATTACTTCGAAACAGATGCTATGCCAGGGATTTTGTGCCGGGTTTCATGCTTTCGCCCTGCCCCGGAGGAAGGCTGCGTGCCGTTGAGAGTGATATTTTACGTCTGCCGGATGCAGCGGGTTGTACACGATCCGGCACGTCTTACACTCCATAAAAGTAGGTTTCGAAGAGAGGTTGATGGTCGTCTGAACAGTCGGGACAGGCTTTGATCGGGAGGGGGGTTTCTTCAGCCTAGGCTGCGATTCGACCTTCTCGAGGTCGGGAAGCTCGTTCAGTCTGTTCTCGTCGGCATCTTGCAGCTCTGGGGCGCCTCGTGCTCTCGTCCTGCGAGTATGATGTGATTTTCGTCCAACGACGATACAGCTTTCTTCATTCTCGTCTTTGTCATCCTCCAATGGGTCCGACGTGCGTGAGAGTGGCGTACTGTGTCGTAGCCTCAGACGACGGGGTTCCTTGATGTTTCTGAAAACGGGAGGCGATGAGGGTGGGGTGTTGACCAGCTTTTCCGAGTCGGACAAGGGGTCGGAGGCTTCAGTGGCCGAGCTTGACCGGCAGGGCTTGAAGTAGCTTAGGATTGAACTCTTGGGTATGCTGCTTGACGGCGGCGCAGATTGAGCGGGAGGAAGCCGTGGGAGGTCCGGCGTCCGCGTTGCTGGTTCGGTCTCGGATTTGCGCTTCTTGAACAAAAGAGAGCCGAATTCGTCATCAGCTGCGCGCGTACGTTTGCTGTATGTTCTGAGAGTTCGTCTTCAAGGCGTCAGTTTGGCTTTATATCAATACACGCAGCAGGTCCCATACCTCTTATCGGCTGTTATCCTAGTGGAATCGGGTCCAGACCGCTGGCTGTGTTGCGTGGTGGTTAGAGACATTAAGAGAAGTGCAAAGTCCATGGGAACGCAAACCTTATGTCTGCGATTTTATCCATGCCTTCAGCCAAGGCAGTAAAAGTAGTTGTCTGACAGAGAGATGTGCCGAATGTAAGGCGCATGCGTGGGTGTGATGGTACGCGACGCGCGCGCGCTCAGAGCTTCCTATGGTAGAGAAGTCGGCGTGGCGGTAGAAGCTGAATACACTCGAAACAACGCAAGAGAGATCGTGGAGACAGACCAAAGAACCAGGAAACGATTAAGAATTATTGCACCCGGAGGAAAGGTCAATGAGGCCGAGGCTGTAGAGAGATGTAGAGGCAGTGATGGGCCCCAAGACCGGGGGGAGCATCCAGCCCCCACCCAAAGCGCGTCGCGCTAATTGACGTGCAGCGACGCGTCCAGCCGCGCGCCTCAAAACTCTCCCCACGCCGTCACGTGTTATAGATTGCTTTCTTACCGAGCCTCTCGACAGAATACTACCCTATTGTGGAAAAGATTTTGTTCTAGAACCCCAGGCGATTTTGGCCATATGGTATCAACTTACAAAGGCTGTTTTGGGGCGTTTTTCTGACCTTGCATAGGTACGTGGCGATAACACGAAATGCAGTGGTTAGCCGGCACCTCTGAACATCGCAAATGATGCTGCCAATTATGTTTCTAATTGGTGGATTATACTCCTTACGAAAGCCCCTTTAGTCTCCGCCGTATGCCTTCGTCTGTATCTTGCGATTTCGTATCGAGAAGAGTAGATGTTTTCTCGGTTGGATCGCCCTTACTCTCCTTACCCAGTACCCACGATTGCATGACCTCCCTGATTTCTTCCGGTTCTTTGGTCTTGGACTTTGCCTCCCCTATCCTCCAAACATAGCCGGAGTATACAGCGACCTCTGCTATCAAGACGACAATGGCGCCCCCGAGCGTCAAGAATATTCGGGCAGTGACATTCCACCATCGGGCCGCTATCCAGATGGTGGCTGCGACACCAATGATGCTTATGAGGAAGTTGAGAATGACCATAATCTGCTTCTGCACGTCCCCGAGCGTCACTTCGTCATCGCCATGGTCTGCTTCGTTCATAGGACGGTTAACTTCGGCGAAGGCATGTGCTCGGGCAGCGGCACTGGGAAATTGCTGGGAAAAGGCCTCCATCCGGGACGGTTGCTTAAGCATGCGCTGGTACGTTCGTTCTTCTTCCTCGCGTCGCAGGCGGGCCATCAGGGCTTTGTACTCGGCAGACTATGAAGTTATGGTCAGCGACTCGGGGTATAGTAAGAGTTGGCCGTCTTGACGTACTGGTTCAGGCTTTGGAGGTGGCGGGGGTACGTAGACTCTGGCGCCTCGCAGAAGTCCCTCCAAACTGAAGCCCTCAATGCCTTCCGTCTTCAGACTTTTCCACAAATCTAATATCTGGCTGTGTGTGATGGGTTCTCCAATCACGTAGTTACCAAGCGTCGGCTCTTCGGCTTTGTCTGTCGCTGGAATCTCAATGGCAATTTCTGACGTGGTTTCCTGCTCTGCATCGTCTGGTGTCGCTGCGATTCGCCGCCCAAATCTGACCTCAGCCAGCTTCTGCTGACCTTCGGCGATGGCGGGTGTTATCGTCAATCGTACCATGGCTGCTGATATGATCGTGTTGCCTCTACGAGGTCATCTCAAAACGATGTGCTCGTAACTTGGCGGTATCTACCCCAGTGACATGCGGTGCCAACAAATAATCTGGTCAGACACGGTCAAATCGGGGTAATAATTCGGGCGTCGGGTCGTGCCTGCCACACTTGATGCAAAGACGACGACCGAGGCAGCAACGACAGCTTACTGCGTAGCTCCTGCCCCAATAGAAGCTCAAGTTATCGGCCATTGAACCAATCAAAAGACTGGGGCCCACAACTTTTCTCCAAAGATACGTATCCCTGGGGTCCGCTTTCCCCCCCTGCCTTAGGTAAGGGGAGCACAGGAGTATCCGTACTCCGTACCACCAAAGGGAAAGATCGGATCTGCTGCGCAACTGCTGTGGCTTGAATTTCTCGCCGCGGGAGGGAAGGAGAAAAAAAAAAAGTCATCGCTTTGTACCATCTACCCGCCTTTAGCTGCCAATTGCCTCAACCACGAATCTTGAGCACGGTCTACTTAATCCAGATGCTGTTGGACTCTTTCGCGATTCTTTTGACACTCTTTTGATTCCCTTCAGACCACTATAGGAGCCATGCAGCTCCGTACGGGAGCAGCGGTGCTGCGCAGCACTTCGATAACGTCACGATCTATCCTCTCCTCCTCTTCCTCCCGATGCTCGCAATGTCGACGAATCGCTCCCCTCGATGCTCGGATACCTCTCACCACTGCGCTATACCACTCTTCCTCGAGGCGGTCTTCAGCATGGGGCGCCGCTGTGTCTGTTGCGTCTAATATGGCTGCGAATGCCGTCAACCGCGTGATCCCCAAGGGTGACATGCACATCGACCCTCTGCGGACAGTGGCCAAGGAGATGAAGTTCTTGACGGGCAACATCCGGAAGCTCCTTGGTTCCGGCCATCCGTCTCTGGATCGCGCCGCCAAGTACTACACACAAGCAGAGGGCAAGCACATGCGTCCTCTTATCGTTCTGCTCATGTCGAGAGCCACCGCTCTATGCCCCAAGGGTCCCCGGCTCCAATCTGGTCAAGCCATTGGTAGCGTTGATACGGCGATATCTCCCCCGAACATCCTCGTCGACGTCAATCCGAGCTCGCCCTTGACAAGCGCCGCCCCCGAGCCTGTCGAGACCGAGTCTGACATCCTCCCGTCCCAACGCCGCCTGGCCGAGATCACCGAGCTGATCCACACGGCATCCCTGCTTCATGACGATGTCATCGACCACTCCGTCGCGCGACGCGGATCCCCTTCGGCGAACCTCGAGTTCGGCAACAAAATGGCTGTCCTGGCCGGCGATTTCCTGCTAGGCCGCGCATCCGTCGCCCTGGCCCGTTTGAGGAACGCCGAGGTCGTCGAGCTTCTCGCCACGGTCATTGCCAACCTTGTCGAGGGCGAATTCATGCAGCTCAAGAACACTGAGCGGGATGAGCGCAAGCCAGTGTGGTCAGAGGAGGCGCTCACTTACTACCTCCAGAAGACCTACTTGAAGACGGCTAGCTTGATCTCAAAGTCATGCCGCGCCTCGGCAATTCTCGGCGGGTCAGACGCTGCTTCAATTGAGGCAGCATATGCCTATGGTAAGAACCTAGGACTCGCATTCCAGCTGGTCGACGACATGCTCGACTACACAAGGAGCGAGAAGGAGCTGGGTAAGCCGGCCGGCGCCGACCTTGAGCTTGGTCTCGCGACGGCCCCTCTACTATTCGCGTGGAAGACGAATCCGGAGTTGGGTGCTTTGGTGGGCAGAAAGTTCGAGCAGGAGGGTGACGTCGCCAGGGTAAGAATGCGCGCGTGCAGCAACAGACTCTTGGATTTGGAGAACAATCTTACTAACACGGTTTCAGGCACGCGAGTTGGTCCTCCAGAGCGACGGTATTGAGCAGACGAGGGTACTAGCCCAGGATTATTCCGAGCGGGCTATTGCAGCCATCAGCGATTTCCCTGAGAGCGAGGCCAAGAACGGGCTCGTCGAAATGGCCATGAAGGCATTGAAGAGGACAAAATAAGCGACTGACGGCGCTGGCCGATCAGAAACCTGTACAAAAAAACCAGAATCCGGAGTGCACGCATTGTGGTAATGTGCGCTCAACACCACTGTACAACAGACCTTTAGGGCTCTTGACAGAGTACATGTAACGATATTATACAACTAGACGGCGCGGCGTGAGGCCAAGGGGGGAATATCATCGGGCTAGAGATGGCACAGGACTTGAGTGCAATACCACAGACAACTTCCCTTTTTTGATACGAACGGGATTCGGCATGTGTGCGTAAGGGATGATTTGCTGAAGCCTGAAGGGGACGATGATTACCCCGTGCAGGACAGCCTGCTGTTATGGAACGCCAAGGGCTCTCACCTGATTGGGGAGATGGGAAACTTTTACTCGATCAGAATTCGGTGAGGTACAGACGGCAGTCGTGACGACAGGGTCCAGAAGGCATACAACGGCGAGCTCCGTGGAGAAGCGGTTTCCATTACGTTGCTGGATCGCTTCTAGATGCTCGCTTCTAGACGCAGCGTTGTAGAAGACGGCACTGTGATGAGATGCATGCATGGATCGGTCAGGGACCTGCAAAGCTTATACGATAACACATAGTCGAGGCCCGATCCGATGCTCGCGGAACATTGACACATCCTGCCAGTCCTGAGAAGGCGACAACCTAGCGATTCGTCTAGACTTCCATCCGGAGAACGATAGTTGAAAATCACAAACACGTCAAGTACGGTTCAAACAAACCATCTGTAGCTTCAATAGCCACTGAACGTTCCGGAAACGAAGCAGGGCTGTAGGGATGGTTCCCGGCGGTTGGTAAACGGATGAATGGTGCGATCGGAAGAAAGGAAGCCGGCTGTCGGGGCCGGGATCGCTCATCCCAACAAATGAGACATTCCTCGGTTGGAGATGACTCGGTCGTCCAAGAACTCCACGGGGGGCGGCGGCTGTGTCACGACGGCGCCGGTTGAGTGGATCCCTTGTCTTCTGTCTTTCATTCGCTGCCCATTATCGGTAGTCGGTACGAGTGACACAAAGCGGGCTTTTGTTACTGTCTTTATCGCGATGTCATCGAGTAATACCAAACTGCTGGCCAATGACAGATGAAGAAGATGGGTTGTCACCAAATTCAAACTGGTAGTAATACGCGCCATGGCCGGAAAATGTCTTCACGAGAGAGAAAAAATCAAGAAACTAGAGTTCCCGGGACTCGCGAGGCGCATGAAAAATTGGCGGGCCAGATACCCTGATTGAGCAGTGTTTTACTCGATCATTACTCGATCGAAACTCCCAAGTGAAGCTTAGACGACGCCTCGGGTGCAGCAGCGGCAGTGGAGCCCGAAGTAATAAGCACACCTACGCAGGACCAACGCAGGGGGGTTCAGAGCTCTGGGCCTATCAGTCTGTCAAAAGGCAAATTTGAGACATAGAAAATAAGCCTCCGATTTTTCCGAGAATGGCCGATGAAGAGTCAGGACGGTGATGGGCTTTCTTTGTACTTTGTGGTGGATTATCAAAGACTCAGGAGGCATTTAAAGCAACACATGCTTTTCCCCATTCGCTCAACCCGGGATGACTAAGGCGTTCTGGATCGGGAAACGGCTGTGTCCGACGACACACCCAACCAATCAGCTGCGGCTGATAACGACAAGGGAAGACTTTCGAGTTCTTTCAGGGTTCCCCGGGGTCGCGTTGAGATTGTCGATAGGTAGGGTCCCTTTCAGCAAAGTGGCCCAGTTGGAAATGGGTTTCGATAACGCACCCCACACGACGGACACGAACCCCAGTTGCAGAAAGCAGAGGCCGGCGGCACGGGGTTCAATGGTCACTATTGGAGCGCAGGTTGAGCCTTGAAGTGAGCGGGCTTTGGTCGACTTGAAGAAGGTCGATGACGAGGTAGACGAGCCCCGGCACCGGGGCCCGAAGGAGAAGGAGAAGGAGATGGCGGTGGGAGAGGGCTAAGCTACGGAGTACTCAATGAAGCTTTGTACTCTGAAGACTGACGGGAGGGTCTTTTCCTCGTTGGGATTGGCTCAGTGGCTGGTCCCTTGAACACCCGTGTTTCCCCTTTGTCAGATGTTCTTCCTGTCACCTCAGAGAACGTTATCTTATCGGAGAGAACGACTGGAAATGGAAGCCCAGAAGAACGAATGGAAGGGGACCCGTCCTAATCACGTCTGGACTTTCGGGGTGGGCCGTGGATCGAGCCACGAACGGCTTTCCTCTGAGTGAGATTCGGACGGGGGAATTGCTCTTCTTCTTTTTCCCCTTCTTCTCTTCTCTCTTCTTTTCTCTACTCAAATTCTCCTTGAATTATCACCACATCGCCTTTCTTGGGACTCATAGTAATTCACACCACTTCACAAAACCACTCACTTTTACTTGAGTGTTTAGTTGGTCCTCATAAAAGACTACCCAAACATCTTACATACCTTCAAACCCTTGAAAGCCACACCGGCCATATCTTATCTCTCTCATCACCCCGCCACCCCGCGATCAAGATAAGCTTCGCTCTTCTCCAGACGCAACAGCAAGCTATCCAAGAACGTCCACCGCGGGGAGAGCTCTTCAGATACCGCGGCATTTCCCTTATCGGACCTCCCCAAGCTTCCAAGATAAGCTTATCACAAACAACCCCTCCATCACTCTTCATCATGACGGCCTCTCAAGACACCACCACACCCCTCGTGGTCCTCGTCTCGACGCGGGCTGTTCTCACCTTTGAACAAGATAATCTCGTCCTCACACCCGCAACGATAACAGTCTCGCCCGCCACCGGAAAGATCGTCAATATCGTCCCGGCAGTCCTGCCAAAGACCTCCTTCCCGGCCTCCACCGAATACATCAACTACGGCTCAAAGCTCCTGCTGCCCGGTCTCGTAGATGCCCATGTTCACCTTAACGAGCCCGGCCGCACGGAATGGGAGGGGTTCTGGACCGGTACGCGGGCCGCTGCCTCTGGCGGTGTGACGACGGTCGTCGACATGCCTCTCAACGCCATTCCGCCCACCACGACGGTGGCTGGGTTCAAGGAGAAGCTTGCTGCGAGTAAAGGACAGTGCTGGGTCGATGTTGGTTTCTATGGCGGCGTGATTCCCGGAAATGCTGATGATCTGCTGCCGCTTGTTGAGGCTGGTGTCAGAGGCTTCAAGGGGTTCTTGATCGAATCTGGAGTGAGTAGTATCCCGCATCGTGACGGTGCTGGCGGATTCGCCCTTCGAGAGAATTTGAGCTGACAACGTGCCTCCCAACTAGGTTGATGAATTCCCAGCAGTCTCATCGCAAGACGTGGCCCTCGCCATGGAAAAGCTCAACGGCACATCCACGACGCTCATGTTCCACGCCGAGATGATCCCACCCATCTCCGACTCGGTAGGCGACGCGGTCCAGCAGTCCGAGCCGCCGCTGGCTCCCACCGGCGAGCTCAACTCATACAAGACCTTCCTCGAGTCCCGCCCGCCTTCGTTCGAGACGTACGCCGTCGAGGAGATCCTGTCCCTAGCCCACCTCGCGCCGGACCTCCACCTCCACATTGTCCACCTCTCAGCTACACAAGCCATTCCCCTACTCAGGGAAGCCAGAGCAAAGGGCATCAATATCACGGCCGAGACATGCTTCCACTACCTTGGCTTCGCATCGGAGGACATTGCCGACGGCGACACCCGCCACAAGTGCTGCCCTCCCATCCGTGAGCGATCCAACCGCGACGGCCTCTGGGAGGAGCTCGTGGCAAAGGACTCATGCATCAAGACCATCGTCTCGGACCACTCGCCGTGTACGCCGCAGCTGAAGCTCCTCCCGAGCCACCTCGAGACTCGCACCCCGCCCGAAAGCCACTCCCCCAACATGCACCACTCGGATTCCGGTATCGACATGACGATCCCGGGCGAGAGCATGGACAAGATCCTCGCGGAGAAGACGTTGGAGGACGCGGCGGTCGCCGTGGCGGACGCGAGCTCGCGGGGCGACTTCTTCGCCGCGTGGGGCGGCATTTCATCCGTGGGTCTGGGTCTGCCCATCGTCTACTCCGAAGCGGTGGCGCGCATCGCTGCCGAGGGCGAGGGGGCGGCGCCGTCGATTATCGATATTGTGCAGTTCTGCAGCCAGTCTACGGCGAAGCAGGTTGGCCTTTCGCACCGCAAGGGCGCGCTCAAGGTTGGTATGGATGCTGATGTCTGCGTGTTTGACGACGCGGACGCCTGGACACTCAGGTCTGGGGATATGCGGTGGAAGAACCGCTGCTCACCGTGGGAGGGCCATGAGTTTGCTGGTCGGGTGAAGGAGACGTGGGTTAGAGGCCGCAAGGTGTTTGAATTTGGAGGAAAGAATCTTGGATTTGTGGGTGAGAGTCCGGTTGGTGAGGCTATTACGGAGAAGCGGACGGCATAGATGAGCTGCGCGATGGATGAGGAAAGAGGATACATATGAAGAGTCGGATGAGAAAGTATAAGAGAGAAAATAGATCGTGACGGGAGCATTAGCCGGATGATGATTTAATGAGATCTGAATTAGGACAAATTGATGATGGAAAATAAACGTCAACTAATCGTCGCTCCTCGTGATATAGAAAGGAATGAGGTCTGAAATATTATACCAGATCTTAACTGCGAGGGTTGGGGTGAGTGTCATGAGCGTGTAGTGAGACATCATCCCAATCCCAATTGGTGATTGAACAGGTCTGATCGCATTGAGCGCAGGAGCGACTTGAAAAATGACCAAGAAAATGGGCAACTTCCAGGTAGCTTGTCATGGAAGAAATGACATGTGTAAATCGTTCTGCGTCTTCAACTCGCGCGCTGTGTAACCCCAGTCTTTGTATTTAAAGACAATGGAATGGAAGCTGAGAAAGCCGCGGGGTTGAAATTCTGCAATTGCGTCAATCCTTAAATACCTTCGATTCGTGATGATGCAACCTTGAGTACCTTACCTTACCTTACTGGTACCGACCCTGAAGGTACGAGGGCACCAAAGGCGGGAGCGAGACGGGGGCGGCCCAAGCTTCTGGTCAGTGGACCGTGTTCCTTCCTCCCACATCGCCGCCATCCTACCGCAATTGTGGGTCCCACCTTCCACTCGCGTTTTTTTTTACTTCGTCAACGGCACCTCGTACGCGACCTTATCTTGGCCGCGGAAGGCACCGACCTGGAAGGAGCAAGCACCTTCTCCTAGAGGGAAGCTCCCCAGCGCACTTTCCTTGCGACGACCCTTCTCGGCCCCTCCCGCCAGTCGTCCCTTCCCAATTATTCTGCGTCCCCGCGCCGCCGGTCGCCCTGGTGGAAATTTCACCATGTTCAACTCCATCTCGAGAATCTTCAATCGATACACGCCCACCAAGAACTCTTCACCTGGACCTACCAGACCAGCCCGCGACGACAGCGAAGATCGGATATTCGCTTCAACTGCGCCGGCCGAGTATCCCGACGGAATTGACGATAGACTGTTGGGCAGAATGGCGGACGAGGACGAGACCGGTCTCGACGCATTTAACGACTATGTCGACCCGTTCTCCTCCATGGTCCCTTTCTCGACCCAAGCGAACGACGGAGGAGGTGCTGCGGATACCGCGTATCCTTCCGACGAGGACCATAGCGTGAAGAAACGCAAGTCCAAAAAGTCCAAGAAGGACAAGAAGGATCGCAGCAAGAAGGGCAAGAGCAAGGCAACAGACCCAGAACACTCGGATGCAGGCCCCTCATCTTCCATCTTCAGTGGCCAAATTGGACCTTCCAGCGACGCAATTGTGGCCGACGACGATGTTTCCTCTTCACCTCAGGTGATCAGAAAGCGCAAGCGGGAACCGGATGATCCAAGTGCGCTAGGCGCGTCGCACTCGTCGGACCGGAAAAAGAGGAAGAAGAAGAAGAAGAAGACGCGTCGTTCTCTCGAAGATGTCGACATGGAGGACGCCGAGCCCGAGGATGTTGTGCCTGAGTCGCCCGAGGACACCAGCATCGCCCAACCTATCGTTCACAGCCCTGCCTCCGAGGCCGATCCCCTCGAGATCAAATACGAGTCACAGCAGTCGCAACTCCTCGGCGTCCCCGGGCCGTTCTTCACACAACCTTCCGGCACACCTGTGTTGCCGAGTCCAGATGACAACGAGTCCGACGATGGCCAGAATGGACCGGCGTCTTCACCCAGTGTTGCGGCGCAGAGGCGCAGGAGCATGTCACGGGGATCTCAGATTTCCCTCTTGAGACAGAGTCTTGCCAAAGAGGCTGCAGCTCAACCACATGATACGGCAAAGGCCGTGGAGTCCACGGACGACGCAATGGAGGAGGACGTGGCGACCGCCTCAGAGGAGGAGGATTCGGCGGAGGCTGCTCAGCGGACCTCGCCAATCGTCGGACAACCTGAAGATGACACATTCGATCGGGACAGCGTTGATAGTGACCAAGACATGGGTTTGGACGAAACTGCGAACCAGCCCTCGTCGCCAGGACCACTCGCCGAGGATGACGACGACGCACAGTCTGGTCACGGATCCCTGTCCGATGGTCTCCCCCCGTCATCTCAAGCCCCGAGAGAAAGCCCGACAAGTACACATAGCGAAGACATGGAGGAGGCCCTCCCAACCCCTCAACTGCCAATCAAAACTTTCCGCGATGCACTCCGAGGCTCAGCTAAAAAGCTCACCACTTATTCCAAGAAGGATGCAGCTGCCGAGAAGAACGCCATGACGCCTCGAGCTACTCGACGTCGCAATGCCCAGCCAGACGAAGAACAGCCCTTTGATGTCGGCAACTTGCCTAGTTCTGCTCAGAAGTCTACCCGCTCCACGGCATCCAAGAAGCAGCGCTCAAAGCCCGATTTCTTCGAAAAGTCAACATCGGTTCAAGAGACACCAGAGTATCTCGAGGTGGAAAAAAGTGCGGCTCCTGAGATCCAAGAGGACGACGAGGATCAGGAGGCCGAAACTGAAGAGGTTCCAGTCAAGAAGCCAACATCAATTAAGACCGCAAAGCCTCAGATGAAGCTCAAGAAACCCAAACAGACAGCCGCTTCTCGCGCTCCCGCAACCGCCACTCCCAAGCCTGCAAAGGCGAAAACGCCAAAGAAGGCTGCACAGCCCAAGGGGGCACCTCAGGGACCACCCGAGTTCATCACCGGCCAATTCTCCCATGAAGAGATGCGCAAGCTCAGAGAAGTTGTCGAGAAATATCGAGAAGAGAACGACCTGTCACAAGAGGAGATGAACAATCTCATCCAGATGAAGCAGCGTAGTAAGCTATCCAAAACGGCTATCCCATATGACAGCGATAAATTTCTCCACCTGTGGAATTACATTTGTGCCGCTCTTCCTGATCGGCGCCGCCAGAAAACTATCGATGTTGCTCGCCAGAACTTCCACAACTTCAAAGCCCGCGGCGGAGGATGGACTGCCAAGGAGGATGTTAAGCTAGCGATGCTGTACGCCAAACATGGCAATTGCTGGATCAAGATTGCGGAAGAGTTGGGTCGCCATGAGAAGGATGTTCGCGACCGTTACCGGAACTATGTCATCTGTGGCCGCACGGAAGGCCGCAATTATTGGACCGAAGAGGAAGAAAAGGAATTGGTCCAGCACGTCATCACCTTGCTTAGACGGACGGACCGGTCACCTTCGAAGATTCAACAGCCTTACGAACCCATGATCAACTGGCAGACGATCAGTGAGCTTATGGGCCGCAAGCGCACTCGCCTGCAGTGCATGAGAAAGTTCAAGACCCTCAACGTGGAACTTACGCCCAGCGAAGTTCTGAGGTCTTCGCGTCCCGCTTCCAAGGTCACCTGGACTTTGGAAAAGGCCCGCAAGCAGATCCAAGAAATGCCGCCCGAAGATAAACACAAAATGGTTCGGGCTATTCTGGCAGGAGGCGCCGGTCGCGATCGATTGATTCAGTGGACGAAGCTTGCCGACTTGGAATTCCGCAGGAAGTGGCCTAAGAAGACTCTCCATTTGTTATGGTATCGTCTAAGGCAGCGTGTCCCAGATCAAAAGGAAAAGTCAGTTAGAGACTGCGCTCGTTGGTTGCTGGAGGATGCCAAGGCCAGCGCCCCCCGGGGTGCCAAAATTCTCGGCGGAGGGGATACCGACTATGATACCGAGACCGAGATGGCTGTTGTTGATCCTCCCAAGAAAACCAGTCGTCGAAAGAGCCTGAAAAATGAGCCACGCAGCGCTGAACTTGTGGTTGATAGCGACGACGCTTCCAACGACGAGAACAACAACGAAGGTGATGACGACGCCATCTCTGAAGCCGACGAGGAAGACGAGACCCGGCTGACAGAAGGTGATTCTCCGTCTACACGGCAGTCATCAGCCCAATCGAATCGACTCTTGACGGATTCTACATCGAATGCTCTCTCTGCGTCTCCATCTCTCCAACCTGCCGGCCTTTCCAGACTTCTCCCCGTCGAGGCGGAAGACGCCAGACCCAGCCCGGCTAAGAAACGCGTCAGGCTTTCTGGCGGCACTTCCTCTAGACAACGTTCTATGGAGAATGATGGTAGTTCACCAGAGCCAGTTGCCGCACAATATGCGGCCGAGAAGATCCCCGACCGCCTCAAAGAGAAGAGAGAAAAGGCCAAGAGGCGTATCTCTTCCGGGATCAGACTTCGAACAGCGGCATCACTGCAACCGGAGTCGGTGCAGAACAGCGATGTCGATGAAGATATGCCACCGATTCGCGTCCCGCCTTCCACAGCACCCGCATCTGTTAAGAGCAGAAAAGCGGACAGGCGGGTGGGCGATTGGGCCAGGAAGACTGGAGGCCCCGAGCCGCCAGGCTTGCCGGCACCAGTCAGCGACGAAAACGACGAAGACATGTCACCGGCTCCCGCCCCGCCCTCGACAGCTCCCACGGGGTCTAAGGGTCGGAAGAAAGCAAACAGACTAAGAGACTGAGCCACCTAGCGGGCAGCTTAGGCCGCGATTTCACGCTGTAATTGATGTGGAATCAGTATGTAGTACAAGTTTCACAGCTTCTCAAGTCATGGGAGTAGTGTGGTGTGCGTAATGATACCCCGCGAGGCTGAGGTACGATCTGGACTTGGGAAAAAGTTATTGATGGATAAGGTCTAGTGGCCACAGTGCCGCACAAAATGGTATCAGGGCGGTCAGTGTTCTGGGCCACAAGCACGGGCAGGTCGCAGCATGGGCAAAGCAGGTCTAGATCAGGTCACATAGCATGTGTTACGAGGGTTGTTTTTCGGAGTGGATATCGATTGTTCAAGGATGGGAATTATACATAGCTTAGTAGCTGCAAACTCCATCATCATCGAATGGTCTTAAACAAGTTGTGTTGAAGCCATTTTTTTCTCAGTTGTCAAATTCCCACGTTCCGTTGTACTTTACAGAATCGTCAGTTGAGTAGCTTGTCGTGAGGAATTTACGTCATTGGTCATGACTCGTTTGGTGGCCAGTCGAGCCACCCAAACGATAACGAGGTTTGAATTTTTTTTTTCACTCATGCCTGTTTGTTCCTCGGCCTGGGTGGAATGTCGTCATGGGACGACTACTCATGAATCAGCTACCGCAGCTATCTCGCAACAGGGAATTCATTTCGCGCCTAGGCGATGGGCGGCCATCAGCAGAAGGCCGGGTTTATCTCCGGACATCACGGATCTGTCCACCTTTTTTTTTTTTTTGTCGGTGCCGCTGTCGCCGCCACCGTAGGGCTGTGACGTTCCGTGGCGAGGGACGAGGTGTCTGTAGACAAAGTGCGCCTATCCACCTTGTTATCGTGACAGCATCAGGCTTTCTTGGGAAGCACGGTCGATAAGGTAAACTCGCGGAATGAAGGGTATCGGTTCTCGCCCGAAAACAGGGGAACCCAGCGGGATGGGAGAGGACCTTGTTCCCCATATACGGAGTACGTGCGTGTCAACCGGGGAATGACAGAATCTCACGCTTGCTTTTGCAGCGCTGTACGGCATACACGTGTACTGGAGAACCCGATGAAGCTGTGATGACAGAGTCGTGCACCTACTCAAATGGCGAGTTTCGGGGCAGTGGGACAACAAAAAGAGTGTGACACCCACGCACCCGGAGCCCAAGACGCGACGTCATCCGGGGGAGGCGACGCATAGAATTTCTAGAATGATTCAACGTGTGTGAATCTTCCGATATCTGGGGAAAGAAGAATGGGGTGTCAAAAGACAGGCACTGCATGCGTTTCTGTATCACGGCCGTCCCGTGTGGAGTGTTTTTTTTCTTTCCCCCTCGCGCGTTGCCAGATGTCATTGTCACGATGGCTTCACATAAGCGGTACTCCGGAGCAAGTTCCGCGCGACGCGCGCGTGCGGAATCCTCTTTCTACACAAAAAAAAAAGTTGTGGCGTCATTGTTCCGTCGCGGAGCAAATCGGCGCGCGACGGGAGTCTGCAAACGGTGCTTGTCGGATCGGTGTCGAATTTTGGCCGAGCCAGAACGTACAAACACCTTGACCTGGAAGGAGGTAGATCAGCAAACGCCGAGAGATCGAAGAAACATCTGGAGGCGATCATCCCGGGCGTTTCGGGGAGGCAATACGTATGGAAGAGTGTTACAGGTGGCTTTTGCAGTTGGGAAAGCACTGGTATTAGTATCGGCGTCGGCGATAGCAGCATCAAGCATGGCGATTGTCATTGAACACCCAAATCCGAGGAAATCCGCGTGACGGATGGTCTCGTTCGCAACAGGTAGACGGTAATTGATCAGGGGAAGAGGTACGAAATACTTGAGAGGCTGAGGGCGGAAAGCACAAAACGGGAAAGACGAGCTTCAACCTTCGACTTCACCTTCAGCTACCGTGTGAGAACCTGCAAAAGTTGAACGTCGAGCTCACGGAAAACATCCGATCAGACCACCGGAGGAAAAGCGGGGTCCCTCAGGGACCGACCGCAGCGGCGTGGCCGCACTTCGGGTCCTTATGGTAGTTTTACGGATAGTTGATGGGGCGGAGGGGTCCGCCGCGATGAAAGACACTCATAGTCTCACACGGCACACCCCCTCCCCCTGGGCAGATCCGCATTCAAGGCGTACGGCCGAGGTGAGGCGAGAATTTGCGCGCGCAATGGGCCACCTTTTCTCAGAAAAGATCCGAGTTAGTGCCTTGAGATCCAATTTGAGCCACAGCTTCCATGGAGTGTTTATCATTTACGTGGCAACGTGGTGAAGTTTGAGCCTGAACCACAGTCCTTGAGGTAACCCTTTGGGTGAGGTGGCTTGACCTTGCTAGATTAGCTGGTGAGGCCCTTCACGATAGATTCTTAAAACTCATCCATCATGAGTTTCACAACCAGTAGTAACTCATTTGCTTCCGTGATGTTGACGTCGTGCTCAAATTTCTGTAGAATATCCTCTTTCACCACTCCGTAGCTCCTCATGCCCACTTCTCATTCAATCGTGAAGCAAATTTCCATGGTCTCGTGTCGTTGCGAGTTCCTCACTTGTCGGCCCTTTTCCTCTCGCGTGTAAAAGAGACGAGAAGACTCTTACCACAGTACTCCATCATGCTCCCCCCCTTTTCCCTCACTCTGGGCCTCCGGGCCTCGAGGAGTTCCCACATATCATCAATGCCCAGGCCGTGTACGCAGTAGGTAGTGGTTGGCATTTGACCGGCAGCACATTTCGTCGCTGTTTCGCATAGCTTCGTAGTTGGCTTAGGATGGGTCTCAATAGCAATACTCGGCGTGCTCTCGCGGTAATCGTGGAGTCGTGGCCGAGTCTCGGTGCTTTTCTGGTTCTCTTATTTCTCTCGGTAGAAGGTAGACTCCACGACTCCCCGTCGTGGACCAGACCAAGGGGATGCCGGAACGGTGAACGGGTCCGTTGAGGTTCTAGGTGGGTTGTATAATGATCTGGCTCAAGGGACGAGGCTTGTCGAGCTGTGAGCCGCATCCGTAGCCCTCAATAGCTCTCATGCTACTCGTACTTCTATTCGAGCAGTCACGAGTCTCTCTCGCTCCAACTTCCTCTCTCATCCTCCGAGGCTCTGCCCCCGTTGAACGTTGGCCAACAGTGGCGCCAACGGTATGCATACCTAGTAGACGGTCAGCGGTTATCAGGAACCGGGCGCGCTAAAGAGCAACGGGAGCAAGCCACAGAGCGAGGGACAGATACGGATACAAGGTGTCCGGGCGTATCTGCGAGCTAAGGCAGCCTAGTAGGGGCGTGTTGCGGCGGCATCTGCTTGCCGGGCCGAAGAGGACCAACAGGGTTCAGGGGGTGGGGGTCCCGTCAGCGGACAGGGAAGGAGATAACATTTTTTCTACGCAGTAAATGCCAGTTGGAAAACAAGAAGAAGAGTACCTATGAACTGGGAAGAGAAAGGGCAAGGTGGATGGGGCAGGGGTACAGGGGTCACTGTCTATTCGGACCTTGCGTGGGCCAAGATGCCATGCGATGCCATGCGGCTGCGTTATGGTTTTTTCGCAGTCTTTGCAGTCCTTTGTGCCATTGTGGTGACGGATGAGAGTCTCGTGGTTTAGTAGGGTACGTGGTGCAGCTGTCGGTCCGGGGAATGAAGTCTTGACCAGACGATGTGATGCGTAGCTCGGGGTGTTTTCATGATGGAATGATTCGATGGTATGGCCAAAGTTTGCATGTCTTGGTAAATCCAGGTCTGTGGAGTGATGATACCTATTCGGAGTATGCGCGGTGCAACTCTTGAAAAACGACAAAATCCATGATATTCCCAGAATCCCAGTGACAGGCCATGGCATGCCAGATGGCAGATGCCGCCCGTGCGGTGGAGATCTCCCTTACCGCAAAGTAAGGTACGTACCTGGGAAGAAAGATGCGGCGACGGCACGGTACTTGAGTCTTGGGCCCCAAATATGGATTCCCTCTTTTTTTTTTTTTTTTTTTTTTTTTTCCCCCTCAGTGGTTCTCTTCTCTTTTTTCCCTCTTCATCTTGTCTTCATTACTATGCATGTCCCTGTTTACCAGGTCGGTTTCTTTCCGCGTCTACGCATACGTGGACGAACAGCTGTATCGTCTGATGTTATGATGTGAGAGTGTTATGGCTCCAGGGCTCCAGCGATCTTTTCTCGAAGAAACGGAATGGTTCAATCAGAGGGCAGGGAACCTGACTCTCTCTCCCGTACTTGTGTATGACAAACCTGCACGTTAAGCTTTGAGTTTGTCAGTCCATCAGTCAGCCGTGCAGCATATCCTGTTAGCGATGCTAGCAATGCTACAATGTAACTAGGTAGACCGTAGACCAAGCAAGGCCAGCCGCCAGGCCATCGTCACTGTCATTCAATCAATCAATCAATCAATCAATCAATCAGACTCCCGTCCCTCCATGGCATGGCACATACGCAGTAGATGATCAAGGTTAGGTGCCTTTCACAATTCCGTGGTGCGGTGGCACGGTGGTATGGTGGCAGCATACAGGACGGGACCTGCATCGGTGCATCCTGACCCTGACGTCAATCGGAGGCTTCGGGATCTCCACCACGCTGGACCATAAGGTAACGACCAAACGACCTGGACAGCGGGCGGATCATCTCGTGCTATTCCGCACTAGACAGATTCCAGCAGCACGCCAAGGATAAAGGGTCCGATTAGTGTAATTGTGGCCCGTCCAATCTGGGCCTTGACTGCTTTCTGGATTTGTCGCCCTGCCTCTTCCTGCAAGCACGAATAGATACAGATCCTGGACCAGGGAAGCCAGATCCATTCGGCGAGTTCCAGCTATCACGTCGAATAATTGTGGTGACCCTGCCGCACACGCCGTCGTCTCGGCCTTTTTGAGAGTCTGGTCTGCGGTCCCTGTTGCTTGACCACCGCTTTGCGTACTGCTCAGTGCTCAGTGCTCGCTCACACCGGGGAGCCTCATCTTTAGGCCGACTCCTCTTAGTGGCCGAGCATTGGACCGAATAATTGCAATGAGACTCGACGTCAATTATCAGCTCATGGGACACACCCCTTCCCTTGCCTACCGTACCTAGTACACCGTGCACACCAGATCCATCATCCATTTCCTTGACGGTGCCGGGTGCTGAACGGTGCCACGGTGGTTGCTTAAACCTCAGCTGCATCGGCCGGAGGTACTCGGCGCAATGTACCACCAACGTCACTCGTGAGGCTCGCGACACGGCGAGAGCTATGGCCATCCGGCCCATCAGCGGCGGTCCCACCGTCCCAAGAGGTTCCAGAGGTTCCTCCCAGGCCCTCTCACTACGACCACAACCTTCAATTTTCAAAGTCACCCTGGTCCGACATGTCACCACGGTCACGGTATTCTCGTTCGCGACTCTCCGCCCGCGAGATCTGGGCTAGAACCACCACCACCACGTCTTTCTTCACCCGGCCTTCACCCGCCATTATCCCACAGTCCAGCCCACACACGTACGTTGCTGCCCGCACTTTTCTTGGTTCGCCCACGGGCCCCCGACTTGTCCGTTTGATGCATGTTGTTGTGGACTGTGGGAGTGTGTGGGAGTGTGGGTTAGCCAGTACCAGCAATGTGGGTATCGTTTTCTTCCTTTCCTTTCGTTTTGATTTTTCGTTGTTTAGCAAGCAAACCAAGATGCCCATGCCCACCCCGGCTGCCCTGCTTGGTCAGAGACGTGATCATGAGGCATGAAAAGCACCTTTCCATCAGTCAAAGTGTGGAAACGCATGCGGAGGCATACGGGGATATACGGGGAGTGAAATGGGTTCCCAATGGGTGAGAACGGGGTGAGCATCTGCTCATTCCTTCCTTGCTTGCTTCCATCCTTCCCTTCTTCGCGCCTTCCGTCGTGCTTTCCGCCATGCCATGCCATGCAAGGTACCTTACTTCACCTTAGTAAGTACTAGGTAAAGTAAGTAACTTGGGTAGGAAGTAAGGTAAAGTGAGAAAGGTACGAACCGGAAAGTAGGTACGTCTCAACCCGGAGCCGTGGTCGCGAGACCCAATCCCCGGGCAGTCCCCAGTCCCGTCGTACCTTCCCAGTCAACCCAGACTACTCCGTACCTAATGGAATTGTGGAAGGACCTGCTCGTCTCCTGACCTCTTTCCTCTAATACAAAAAGAATCCTCTCCTTCCCCCATCGTCTACTCCTGGCCCCCTTTCCTCCTTCCCATCCCACACTTCTCCAGACTAATCAGAGTTTTATCTCAACTACCTTGTCCTCTCCACACTTCAACCGCTCAAGGCAGGTATAATACCTTCCTTCCTTCCTTCCTTCCTTCCTCCCTCCTCCTCCTTCTTGAAGCAAACACTCAACAACACCAACAACACCAACAATCTCGTTCTCACCCAGAGACATCATCACCCTCGGAACCAACAGACTTATTCCTCCCGCCTCTACATCCTCCCCTGGATCGAGAACACCAAACCCACCCCCACATATCCATCCCCAAATCAACGCACATCGTCAGCATCGCCCATCATGCAGTTCCCCAAGCTCGGTGGCAAGGGCGTAGAGCATAAGGATCGGACGGAAGCCGACGCTCCCACCTCGGATTCCAGCTCCGATATCACGGCTGAGCAGAAGATTACCTTCGCCGCTGCTTTCCTCGGTCTCGTTGCCAGTATCGGTGGTTTCATGTTCGGTTATGTCAGGTATGTCTTACTTCACCCCCGGGGGGGGGGGGCCACCTCTCCGCCCCGCCCTCCTCCATCTGAGACCTACATGTCTCGCCGGCCATTCCGTTTGCTGACCCTTTGTTCCTCACAGTGGTCAGATTTCCGGTTTCTTCCTGATGGAAGACTTTATGCAGCGCTTCGGTGAGCCCCAGGATGGCACCTACGTCTTCAGCGCTGCTCGCCAGGGTACCATCGTCGGTCTCTTGTGTATCGGCTGTCTCGTCGGTGCTCTCACTGCCGGCAAGCTCGCCGACACTCTCGGCCGTCGCATGACCATCTCGCTCTTCGCCTTCTTCTCCTGCATTGGTATCATCATCGAGATCTCCTCTACCACCAAGTGGTACCAGTTCGCCATTGGCCGCCTCGTTAACGGCGTCGGTATCGGTGCCCTCTCCGTCGTCGTTCCCATGTACCAGTCCGAGTCTTGCCCCGCCATCATCCGCGGTGTCATTGTCTCCACCTACCAGCTCTTCATCACTCTCGGCATCTGGCTCGCCGAGATTGTCAACTTCGCGACCCACAACAAGGCCGGCTCTGCCTCCTGGCGCATCCCCAACGGTCTCGGCTTCGCCTGGGCCCTCATTCTCGGTGCCGGTATCCTCCTCCTTCCCGAGTCTCCCCGTTACGCCTTCCGCCAGGGTCGCGAGGACGAGGCTCGCCGCAACATCGCCAAGCTTGCCGGAGTTGAGCCCAACGCCGCCTCTGTCAACCTCCAGATCGATGAGATCCGCGCCAAGGTCGCCGAGGAGTCTGCTGGCGCCGACACCAGCATCTGGGAGATCTTCACCGGCCCCCGTATGTTCTACCGTACCATTCTCGGAATTGTGCTTCAGGCCGGTCAGCAGCTCACCGGCGCCAACTTCTTCTTCTACTTCGGAACCACCGTCTTCTCCGCTACCGGTCTCAGCGACAGCTACGTCACCCAGCTCATTCTCGGATCCGTCAACGTCGCTTGCACCTTTGGCGGTCTGGTTGTCGTCAAGAAGTCCGGTCGCCGCATTGCTCTCATTGTCGGTGCTCTGTGGATGATGATGTGCTTCTTCGTCTACGCTTTTGTCGGTCATTTCGCCCTCGACACTGTCACCCCCTCCAACACCCCCCAGGCCGGCGCCGTTCTCGTTGCCTTCTCTTGCCTCTTCATTGCCGGTTTCGCTACGACCTGGGGCCCTCTTGTCTGGGCTGTCGTCGCTGAGCTGTACCCTGCTCGCTACCGTGCTCCCGCCATGGCTCTTGCCACCGCCTCTAACTGGCTCTGGAACTTGTATGTACCCCTGACTTTCAACCGCGCGAAACATCCAACTAACTCTTTCTCAGCCTCATGTCCTTCTTCACCCGCTACATCACCGATGCCATTGACTACCTCTACGGTCTCGTGTTCGCTGGCTGCTGTGCTGCCCTGGCTGTCATTGTCTTCCTCTTCGTCATCGAGTCCAAGGACCGCACCCTTGAGGAGATTGACACCATGTACGTCCAGCACGTCAACCCCATCACCTCTGCGAAGTGGCGCGGCGAGGAGCACAAGCACCACCACGAGTCCGCCAGTGAGGAGGAGAAGGTCAATGCCACTGCCTAAGCGCATTGATTGCTTTGGTGTTTGAAATGTCTTGTGCATTGGAAACACCGCAAACATACACATTACATTCTGTTCCCCTTGGCTTCCTGGGCCAGAGAGAAAAGACCTGTATCATACAAAATTCATTGCGACGGCGTTGGGTGGCATCTTGTATTCTTAAAAGAATTCGTTCATGAGGAATGAGAATTATTTAATTGATCAACATTCAAAAGACTTTGGTGCACACAAGTGATACATGTCTACATTACTGATCTGACGCAAGAGGATTGATTCGCTTACTCGGTTGAATGGTCGTGAGAAAGTTTAGGTATTATGGACATGTACTTCACATGTCCTTGTCATACTCATTGAACGATGTCAAGAAGTTGTTTATGCATTGAAGTTATGTCTCTGTGGCTTGCCCTCTTCTAGGTCTAAAGGGCGAGGGCTGAGAGCCAATGTATGTCTGCCTCCTTTCCGTCTTACCGGCCTTAACCAATGAGTACCAGATGCTAGGATATCAATGAAACCAAGTCAAGTTGGTTCAACAGATGAGAAGAAGGCTGAGCGTAACGGAGCGCAGCTCCACGACGCCTCGCAAGTATCTGACAAGCCCGATCCCGTCTTATGTATCAGGTTCAAAAAGTGTTCATTGTATGCGATGCCAAAGTCACAGTTGAACTCAATCCCCGTCCCGTCCATCTTCTCCATCTCAGCTGCCTCACTTGCGCAACTTGGCAACAATGGCGTTATACGCAGGCTTGGGGTTCCAGTTCTCGTCAAAGAGCAGGGGCTTGGCGGTGGCCATCCACGACTGCTTGTCGCTGACGCCCCAGACGGTGACGCCCTTGCACTTGGGCACGTTGAGGCAGGCGCCGACGACGGTGGCGTAGTCATTGGGGGGCGCGCCGGGGATGTCGAGCTCGGTGATGGCGATCTCGGAGGCGCGGGAGCGGGCGAGGGCTTCGAGGGCGGCTTGGATGTTCCCCGACATGTTTGCTGCCAGGTGGGCTTGGGAGCCTGTGTGGTGGTGGTGTTAGTCAGCCCTCGTTTTCATCTCGATAATTTGATTTCCCATCTCTCATGTATCCTCTTCCATCTTTGAGCATCTTTATCTGCTTCTCCATGGGGCTGAGGGGGTGGAGGTAACAAGAGATCAACTCACCAATACCGTCAATGGGGATACCCTGCCCGATCCACTGGTTCACCTTGTTCACCATGGCCGTGACCTTGCCCCAGCCGGCGTTGTCAAGGTTGTAGTCATTGATGTACAGCTTCGCCGCGGGATCCGCGAGGCGCGCGGCGCGGAAGGCGACGCCGATGTAGGCCTCGCCGAGGACGTTGGAGAAGGCCGTGCTGCGGATTGTGCCGTTGTCGTTGAAGGCTTCGTTTACGACGTCCTTTGCCTTGTCAGCATTCCTTCGAATCATGAGATAGGAAAACGGAGGGGATCCGTTTCACTGTAAGGCAAAAACATACCCACGACCTGATCTTGCCCTTGTACTTCCCCACAATCGTCTTGACGTGCGTCTCAATCACCTTGGTCATGGTCGCCTTATCCTTGATAGCAGACACCCACGCCGGCAGCGCCTGGTGCCAGAGCAACGTGTGCCCTCTGATGCTCTTCCCATTCTTTTGCGCAAAGTTGACGAGGAAGTCCGAGTTGGTGAAATCAAAGTTGCCCCGCGTCGGCTCGGTGGCGTCCCACTTCATCGAGTACTCGGGCGTCACTTGCCCGAAATTCTGCTGGATGACGGCGGCGGTCTTGCCCTGCTGCATGATGCCATTGTCGCCCGAGACGCCAATGTAGAGCTTGCCCTTTGCCTTGAAGAGCTTGTCGATGCTGGTGGGGGATTGGCGGGTGAGGAGGTGGGCGGCGGCGTGGTGGCCTCGGGCGGCGTGAGAGTGAGAGTGAGAGGCCGTGTTGTCGTCGGCGGTGGGGAGGCCGAGGACGGCGAGGGGGGCTAGGAGGAGGGGGAGAGAGAACTTCATTGTGTCTTCTTCGTTTTTTGGTTATTGTTGCCTTATCCAAACTGGCGCGGTTTTGTGTGTGTATTTCTACAATGAGTGTCTGTGGGTTAGGTAGTTACGATTTAGAATGAGTGTCTGGCGAAAGGAATGAATGACTGAACGAATGAATGAGAAGAAGTAAACACTTTGAAAGAGAAGAGCATTCAAGCAAAGCGCCTACCTGTGTGTGACACGCCCGGCATGGGGACATCTGCCCAACTTATTCAGTTTCCGTCCGGCACGGAGGCTCGCAGTCCGGGCCTCCCGTTTCTCGCTCTCCCCCTTGGCAAACATTGGCGCATCTCCAATCGCCCGTGCGGTGGTGGGAAATTTCGCATCAAAGAAGTTTGTTTTTTGGAGACTTTTTTCCTCCAATTTGGGGGTTCGCATTCGCCGCCGCAAGTCAGGTCAGCAAAGGAGGGAAACCTGCCGTCGGAGATTCAACGTAAGCTCCGGTGCAGAGAAAACAACATGTCTGTATGGAGACTGCGTGCTGCGTAATTTGAGCCGCCACTCTATTGTCTCGGGTTGCGCGCGCATTCCAAAGGGGAAAAAAAAGAGGCGCGAAGCGGCAAACTTCCCTTCGTGAGAACCCCTCTGTGCCTGGTGTCGACGATTAAGTGGTTTTACTATAATAGCCTTTGCCGTGTTGAAAATAGCCTTTAATTGCAATGGCAGATCTCCAGTCCTTTCGGGTGGTCCAATTATACTAGCCACAGGGAGCTTCCCTGCCTCTCTTTTCTCTCTTTCGCTTTCTCCAAATCATCCCACCGGTCCCCGGATAATAGCGAAATGGCCATATGGAGGTAGGTGACATTTTCACGGAGGCTGCGCGCTGGGATTCAAATTTAGCACAGGCGACTGGATGAGGAATTAGTGATGGCTCAGTTCCCGTTCCGGCGACCCGGGTCTGCACAACACCCGCAAGTAACATTCCATCGGCCTCTTTGCCCACTTGTTTGGTGCCACAGAGCGCAACAACAAAAAGCGAAAACAATGTGACTGTGTGGAATTCAACAATCTCGGGGACTGGGCTATATATACTCTAGTTGCGCAGCAAAAGTGTTCCAGCCGCGTCGACTTTGCGTGGTCCGCCACGTCGTCAGTCCACGCAACGTCGGTGGTAGCTTGGGAGAAGACGTTGGACTGCGTCGCGGCCACGTGGGGTGGTCAACTCAATGCCTCTTCGTTTTCGTTTTCGCCGTTAGCGACGATAAGACGTTGGCGACATGAAAGACAACTCTGAAAAAGTTTACCAATACGAGTCTTGAAGCTGGGTATCCGTACTCGCCCTAAGGCGTTACAGCAGCCAAGGATCCCCTCAGGGTTCCGCCAGGGGATTCTCCACCTACCGGCCCGGACAGAGCGATCGGAAGGATCCATCCCCATGACCTGGATGCCGGGCCCGAATGACATAATTCCCTGCCGAGACTCCTGGACCGCTCCAACGGCTGACCCAAAACGGCTTGCCTCACCCTTAACATCAGGGATGGTGAAGTCGGCTCGTTACCTGTACTTTCTTGCGCAACCTCTAGTGCGACATTCTTATGCAGGTTGTTATTTATTCCCTTCTCACTATTACCAGAATCGATGGCCAGCCCCAAGTTTCTGAGAGAACTCCCCACTGACTACGTGTAGCTCGCCTTGTCATGGAACCCCGCAACAAGTTGGTCCCCTTTCAATATCACGGAATGTTCTACTCGCATTCCTCCTAGCATGTTTGCGCGGGAATGAGAGATCCTTGTCAGTGTCGACGCTGAAGAAGAAAGTCCTTCCTATGCTACCGAACCGCCTCCGACGAGGTTGCCAGCATAGACAGAGACTTTGTCAACATTCTTGGGCGTATGAACAAGACCCCACGTAGGTATCACAAGAGAGCTCATTCTTCCTACATTTGCCGTGTAGAGGCGTATACAATGACAGAGGAAGACCGAGGACGTTAAATAACACATTGATGATTTCTGCCCTGCGTCAAGTCGCACGTCTTTTAGTGAGCACTTGACTTGCCAATTCATTATACATATCCCCCATTCCCAGGCCATCATCTCCCGTCGTAGTTGTACAGATACATATCACACAGCTTAGTCTACGAACATCCCCTTTCAGACCTTGCTATCCTCAAATCCTCGCGTTCTCTCCATACTAGACACTTAATTCTCGCCGTCCTTGCGGTTTCTCTTGAACAAGTTACTCAAGAACTTCCGCTTCGAGCCCGATGGGACCTTGTCTCTGGTCGACGAGGACGCGGAAGAAGCAGCACTATCCTCGCTAAGGAAAGTTCTCATTCCCACGGCGTCGTCGCTATCAGTAGAACGGCTCGAGATCGTGTCTCTTCTGCCGTTCTTGAGCTCGGCCATCGACGCCATCTTACCCAAGAATCGGGAAGGGGCGTTGGCGGGTCCTTGAGCATAAGCCGAGGTTGTCGGCTGAATGACGCGCTGCTGGCGCTGGTCAACCAAAGGTGCTGCGGGCTGTTGTCAGCATGGACTTTGATATTAAGACAGTAAATGAACTTACTAGGACGAGGAGACATCGCCGCCATGGACGCCGCGGGACGAACTGTGCGGTCTCTCTTGATAGAGAAGTCGGCTCGAGTGACATAAGGGTCGAAAGTCGTGTCGAAAGCAGACGGCGAAGTGGTGTCAATCGGCTTCCAGACCGGAATGGGTGGCGGCGGGCGGGCGGGGACGTAGGACTTGGCAGGACCAGGACCAAAGTCCACGTCGATGAAGGCAGAGTCAAGAGCCTCAGTCTTCGGCTTGGGCTTCGGTGTCTTGGGCTTCGGGATAGAAGGAAGTGGCTTGTTCGGCGCCGGGAGCGGAGGCGCATTGAAAGGAATGGACTTCATCGACTGGACTTGGCGAGGGCGACGAGTAGGCGTCTCAACGTCGACTTCCTTCTTCGGTGTCAGCGGGCGGTCAGCCATGGCAGCGGAGCGAGGCGACAAGACCTCTTCCATCTCGCGGTTCAACTCGTTTCCGATATCCGTGATGAGTCTCGAAGTTGACCGAGCGACCGTTCCAGTGCTTGCAGCGGAAGCTGCGCGGTCGGCGCTTGACGCCGTAGGAGCTGGACTGGGGCTCTTCATCGTGCTGAGCCTCAGCGGCTTCGGGTATGCCTGAGATGCCGAAATTTGAGGAAGGCTCGGGACAGCCCTGCGTCTTCTGATGTGGAGAGATGGAAGCTCCGAATTGCGAGAAGACTCAATGGCCTCGGTGACAGGGTCTTTTTGTGCCGGCTCGGGTCGTTTGGGAAGGCGCTTCTGGCGGTAGTACGCGGCAGTATCGGCTGAGGTAACTGAGGAATGAATGCGAGGGGGCGACGATGGGTTTCTGGTGACAGAGCTCCGGGAGAGCGGGAGAGAATCCTGGGCCCGTATGCTGGAGATTCTTGAAGAAGCTTCCGGAGCCGAAGCCTCAGTGGCCACATTGCGTGCATACTTGCTGCTGGCCTTGGCATAGTCGGTTTCCAGGCTGGCCGGAGTGCCCTGAATGGGAAGACGAAAAGAGGCGGATGTCGAGACAGATGTGGCTATACTCACATGAGAAGCAGCCGAGTAGCGATCGTGACGGTCCACAGCAGATCCAGTCGCTTGCGATGAGAAGTTGCTGATGGTACTGGATGGAGCTTCCGAGTATCTGTGATCAGCATTATCATGAGTTTCCTCATGAGCGACATAAGACTGGGCAGTCTCTGAACTTGGGACGTATGAGATGGCTTCAAGGACGGGTGAGCGTCGTGAAGCTCTTTCCTGAGAGTGAGCGACATGGGAAGGAAGGTTCTCTGGTTGGCGCGGGGTCAAACCCTCTCCATTCTCAAGCTCACTGGTCGTAGGCGCCAGCAACATTAAGTCCGTAGAAGAAGGGCGACATCCAGTCAAAGGATGGTGAACTGCTGTGACAGCACTATCCTGCGAGTAAATGGAAGATGTGTCTGCAATTTCAGCGGCATCATCTGAGATGCTTTGGAGAAATGTCTCATCTTCAACCACTGGTGTCAGAGCGTCGTCCAAAGTCTGTTGAGTCTCCTGTCTCCGCGTGACCATTGGCGCAAAGACCTCAGTCTGTGCAGATGCCGGAGAGCTGCTCAAAGGGGACACGTTTCCATCAAAAGGCATTTCATGTAAATGCTCAAAACCGAGGGGTGATACATTGTTTTCGTCCCTGTAGCCCGTGGCTGTTAGTGTGAACTGCTGGCGATATCTTTCATAAGCAGTTGCAGAACCATAGCACGGCGGAGACGCTTCTGTCATTCCACTTTGTACACGACGTGCAGGTAAGCTTCTCTCAACACTAGTTGTGGACAATGACATCGGTGCAATGGATCTCCGCAGAGAGGCATCGGGCGGAGCTACTTCATTCGATGCAGCCTTCGTGATATTGCTGACGCGACGATGATTCTCAGCGGGGAACTGTTCCGCCTTGCAAGGAGGAGGAAGGATAGCCATGAGGGCATCTGTGGGCTGAGATTCACTGGAAGCTCGGTGGGAAGCGAAGCGCAGGGGCAGTGCAGTGATAGAAGCTCTGTCCAGAGGAGATGCTTGAATCATTCTGGGGCGGAAGAGGGACTTCGTCGCACTGTTGGTATTGAGGCAAACACCAACGAAGCAATCCTTATCTTCTTCAACCAGGGGGACGGACGGGTCATCCAGCAGCAGCATTGTTGACTGCACCAGACTCTCATATCTGGCCGCTGCGGTACGACCAAGAGAGAACCCATCACTAGATGAGCGATGCTTGTGGTCTGAGCCAATGAAAGAGTATGAGTCGCTGTGGAAGTGGGCAGGCATGAGTGGAGTAGAAGGGCCAAGGTTCAAAGGAAGAGGAACGAAGGAGCTTCTTTTGCCAACATCTTTGTTCTTGGAAAACCGACCCATCTTGGAAAACTTGCAGTCTTTGCCATTGTCCGGCAAGAAGTTTCTCTCAAGACCTGCGGGAAGTTGCGGAAGCAAAAGGAACTCCTTGAAGTCTTCTGTCCAAGCCCAGACAGAGGCAGGCTTGCGGATGGTGCAGTCGACTCCTTCCCCCTCTGCCTTGGCTTTGGCAATGTAGTATTGTCGAGTATACTCCATGGGAGCTAGACGAGGCGAGGCATGTCGAAACTCGGGAGGGGCCTCGTTCTGCCCAAAGTAGACGGTAGGGTGTTGAGGCTGAAGTAGATAGAGCGGAACACTCGTCGAAAGTGACGGGGAGATCAAGTTTGATGGGCTTCGCAAAGATGACGCGTAGAGTGAATCTCGCTCGCCTCCCGGAACGTTTCTGCCGCGTCGAGCCACCGCCTGGCTGAAGTCAGATCCAACCCGTCTCATCTCCTCAGGGGCAATGGGATTGGATATCTGGGATCTTTCGATTCCTGTGCTTCGCTTGCTGCGTAACTGAGTAGCATTGGGAACAGGTCTAGTGGGTGTCTTTGAGCGCAGAGAGCTGCTTGACCGGGTCGTACGAAGAAAGCTCCGAGGCGCCGTGTCGCTTGAGGTTCCGGGGGGTAAGCCGAAATGGTCGAGAAGTTCTTTGAGCGTTGGGAGCTCGGGAACATCCTTCTCTGCATCAGATGTGGCAATGAAGTTTGCGAAAGACTTGACTTTGTGAAGGATGTTCGAGGGCGTTCTTAGTCGCTCCACTTGGGCGGAAGGCTTAGCGTGTTGTCCTTTCTCCTTCGAAACCACCAATGCCTTGTCCATGTCCTCTTCGTCTTCAGAGTCGCTTTCCCAAGTATAGATAGGAGTGCCGTTCTCGACCTTGGCTGGCAGAATGAGGCCGTACATGGCAAGCTGGTGTTTCTCCCATCCCTTTTCCAGCTTCATATAATGGGCCAGCGGGTGTTCTTCAAAGTCAGTCTTGGACAGTTCTTCAGAATAGCCCAAGACAGGAGGCTCATCTAAGTCGCAAGCCCATTCGCGGCCGTTGGTCTTTGCGCCTGTGATCTCGCGGCCTGGGCATCCCGCCAGAAGGGGAGTGGGAAGAGGCGGAGGTGGAGCTGGAGCCGGAGTCGGTCCTGGTGAGTTGCCCTCGGTTTTGGAAGGGGGTCCCTCCACGGCTAGCTGGTGAGCGGTGTTGAGTGAAGTGTTGGTTCGGTTACGTCGAAAGAGCCTCGAGAGCGGATTGGATCGATTAGCTTCATTGATTACTGGAGTCGATGAACGAGGCTGTAACTGAGTAGAGGGAGGAGTCTGGCGAGTAGTGGTCGCAGTGTGTGCAAGTGAGTGAGCAGAATCTGATCGATAACGCAAAAGCTGCGAGCTCTTGCTTTTCTTTGGTTTTGGAGCCATTGTTGGGCTGGAGGCTGGAGCACAGCTGGCAAATGGAGGAGCTTTGTGTAAGATAAGTGATGGGTTGGACAGAAGCAGCGAAGCAAGTCGGAAAGCTGGTACAATGAAGCCGATAGAGGATAGTGTGATCCAAGCAGGATTCTGGTTGTCCAAGCCCCAAAACTTTGGTCGAGCAGGGAGAATCTGCACCAAGATCAGTTAGTGGTCGAGAATATGGTTGAATACAGAGATGCGGTGACACACTCTCTCTGTCTTAGCAACAAAAAAAAAGCTGCCTGTCCAATGCCTCCAATATGGCCAATCGCGGAGTAGTGCTGAAGCCCGTAGAAGGATAGTATCTGATGCGAGGGGTGGAGGAGCAAGAGATGATGTTACTGGTGTATGAGACGATGAATGAGAGGGAATGAGAAGCGTGAGGTTTGCGGTAGTTGGAGAAGCCAGAATGGACAGTAAAATTGTGGGAGGGGAAAATAAACAGTGAAGCGTGTGATGGGCAGGCGCGTCGGGCAAAGGAGAGAAGGTGAGAGGGAAGGGACGATGGTGAAGTCAATACACAGGTCTGCCTCAGGTGTTTAAGATGCTCGGTGAGAGAATTGTTTTGTTGACAATGGCGATGTGAAAACCGGAGTGGATTGTCTACAGAAAGACAAACCTGCTTAACTGACCACACAGAACAATGCAACAGGTACGCTTTGAGCTCCCAAAGTATTAATTTGTCTCCAGGGTGATGTCATATCTATCTTGACTAGATACGGTAATATTGAGTGTATGCTTTGAGCTTGATTTTATACTAGTAGGTAGTATCATATCGTGGAGGAAGTTGAGAGACCACGGAATCTTACACTGGACGTGGAAATCGACTAGTCAATAGAATAGAAAATAAATGAACCTAGCTGAAGAGAAAACAAGAAGTTCAAGCTGTGATGAACTTGATTCATTCGGCTTTTGGGAGCCTGGCTCTTATCTCACGCGCCTGAATGAATAAACCTAATGATGGGATTGGTACTCGGATAGTAGTATCCATTGATTTGTGAGCATGTATCCGTACATCAGCCGGGCGAGGTAGACTACAGGATGGAGAGAAAGATATGATGTGATATCTTGATCTCATCAGATACCCGATGTAATATATCATAAGATCCACAGATAAGGCTTGACTTGGTATAAACAACTAGTCCATGTCTTGCCTCAGCAGACAACAATCTGATGCAGCTTCGCCAACGGTTCGTCGTCGCGATACTTGGCTCCACAGCGACATCCGGAACTTGATTTGTGGGGCCACCTGAGCTTTTGCTTACTTAAGGCGGTGTTCATAAGGCGCCAGCCACACCTGAGAAGATTCTATCACGTGATTTGAAGCTGGTGCCACAGTTGGGTTCGTCCCTCAGCTGGGCAGGGGCCAATGCCAAGGAAAGAAGGTCAAGAACCATGCCAAGAAAGGCCAAAGATGTAGCAGGAGCTCTCGGAGTCCTCTCCTTTCGTAGCACCGACGTGTTGTGTTTCCTGTTTTTTTTCCCCTGTGGCTTGACCGACACTGACTCTTTGTCCTGTTCTTTTCTTTCTCTCTTTAATTTCCCTGTTGTCTGTTCCATAAACACAAAATCTCGCACTCTCCGCTGTGCCTTGCTTAATTCTCTACACTACATTTACTGCCCGCCAGGACCTGCCGGCCGGCCTTTCCCTCCTCCACTCCGAGACGCTCTCTCACTCGGCGAGGACTTCTCACCGACCCGTCGCCATCGGAATCGAGCCGCAGCAGGCCCTGCAGATGCTCATCACGTACTGCGTAGTATAGCAATGACTTTGGCGAGCAAGGGTGGGCAGCGAATGCTGTCGCACTTGCGCCCCCCTCCGACCCGGTGGGTTGGAACGCGTGGCTGCCGCCGCGGTCCTTGGGGGCCGCTGTCAGCACCGGCAAGGACGGCACCGGCATTGGCACCACCACCTTCATCGGCGGTCAACATCAAGACAGCCGCCGCCTGCTTCTCCACACACCCGCCAGCAAGATCCGGTGAGTTGGTGCGCGTACGTTCTCATTTCTTCGTGTATACCTTTTCAAGTTCCCCCATCCTTTCTTGTCGTCGGTGGACTGTTCCACTCTCCCCTGTGGCAGCTTCATCCTTCGTACGATGTTGGCGAGATGGATGTGATGCGGCACCTGCAAGAGGCCAAGTAGGGTACGGCTGCGCGAGGCTGGGCACCAGATTCCCGTTTCCTCTGGATGGGTTGGACAGGGATGCCACGTCTCTGTGTGGCCGAGGACCCGATCCTGCAGGCCAAGATGCTGCAGGTCAGATCTCGACTGGTTTCCACAGCGAATCAGGCTGCGAACCGGTTGCTGTCACATCTTGCCTGTAAACCACTGTCACCTATGCATGTCCTAGAAGAACGAATTTGCGTTGCCGGCCCACGAACAGGAATCTCAAGTGAACATCTTCATTGCACATTGAATAAGAGCTGACCTTCAGCGTAGATCAACCACAATCAAGCTCAAAGTCAGAACCTGTCGCCACTAGAGCCCACGATGGCGGTGATAGTCTCCCCAAGAAGATGCTCGAGTCCGCCGCGACATCGTTCGCCTCCATTCTCGTCCTTGCTGTCGGCTTCGCAGTGGCAGGCTATGCTTACCACAAGACGTACAAGCGTATTGTCCTGAAGAAGATGACCCGCGCCTTCACGCCTGGCGACCCCGTTCTTGAGCTGGCCGCTATTGGGAAGGAAGTGCCGCAAACCTCCGCTGAGGCCGACGATCGATGGGTGCAGCGGCCAGAGCAGGCACGCGTCGACAGAATCATTGACGGGTCAGAGGCTGGGCACTATTTCCTGCTCATGGGCGAGAAGGGGACCGGCAAGAGCAGCATGCTGATCGAGGCCATGCGTAAAATCGACGGAGAAGGCGTGGCCATGTTTGAGGCTCACGCAGATTTGGAGATTGTGCGCATACGCCTCGGCAAGGCCCTTGACTTTGAGTTTCACGAGGATTACATTGGCGGATACTTCAGCGAACGCGGTCCTCGCGACACGACAGCTCTGCTCGATATCGAACGTGCCCTTAATAAGCTCGAAAAAGTCGCTCTGGTCAACCGTGAAACGCGAAAGAAGCCCCTGGTGGTCATCATTAACCAAATGCACCTGATTCGCGACGACGACGATGGCAAGGATCTGATTGAACTTCTTCAGCAACGTGCCGAACAGTGGGCGGCGTCCAACCTCGTGACAATGGTCTTCAACACGGATGATTACTGGGTATACGAGCGATTCAAACAGCTAGCTACGCGTATGGAAATCATGTCGGTGCGCGACCTGCCCAAACGCCAAGCTATCGCAGCTCTCGCAAAGTACCGCATGAAATACTTCAACGAAAAGTTGAGCCCAACGAGACTTGAGGAGGTATATGACCTCGTTGGTGGCCGACTGTCGTTTTTGAACCGCGTTGCGAAGAGCAGAGATATGATTGCTACGTGCAAATCCATCTGCGAGGTTGAGAAGACATGGTTTCTCAACCAGTGCTGGATTCTCGGCGCCGAGATGGACGACGACGTGATGGACCAGCAGAAGTGGGCTGTACGTAACAATCCCCCCTTTACGCATTGTCGCAACCTGGTGTGGGAAATCCTAGTGGACAGACTTGACTGACAACACATGACAGGCCGGTGCCATGGTCCTCGCTCAAGCCCTCGTTGATGAGGAAGAAGACATGGAGCTGTACGACGACGAAAAGGGCCACGTACTGCCCAGGTTCCCGATGCACAAGGCGCAGCAGATCATGACGCGTGCCGACTTCATACGTGACATGGACCGACTCAACCTGTTTAGTATCGCGGCCAACGCTGAGGTCCGCGCCTCATCTGTGCCGATGCACCGCGCGTTCCAAGAGATCTGCGCCGAGAAGGGCTTCCGGGATCATCTGGAGGCTACGATCCAGCGTATCGGTGACATTGAGTCCCTCGGCCGTACGCGCGAGCTTGTTGCCAAGGACCTTGTCCTCGGTGGCAAGTACCAGATTGCTCGCGACGGCAAGAGCGGCGTTACCGTCAAGCTTATTGAGGGCGAAGATTGAGGCATGTACATCTGGGTCTGAGACTGGTATGGTCAGGTCGCCAACAGTCCGACGGCGTTACGGAGCCCACCATCGAGGCTGCCACATCCAAGAGCCGAGCTACCTTACAAGACGAGACCGAGTGACGGTGATGGGACAGTGTGACGCGAGCTCAGATCTGATTGTCCCATCCCATGGCCCACCACGACCTATCAACTCCAAGGGCGACCCTTAGATCGGACAAAGAGCTGGCCCCGATCGATTATGCAACTGGGTCGATAGACTCGGCCGATATGGGATGAAGCCTGAAAAGACGAACAGGATGACACCGGCTTGCGAGCTACGTGTTGTCTATCGCATGGGCCAGCCTATGAGCTGGATGTGTGGCCCATCCAAATGCGACATGCGCGTTCACAACCATAATAATGCGTGGCTGGGAATGCGACGACCTCAACCTATAAGATAGAGCACGTTTGCGGATAGATCCTGGGCTCTCTGGCTCGGGGAGAGTAGAGGGACATGGCGACATGTTGCGCCTGTCCCCTGTACGATGGTCGATTGCACTGTAGATTGCAGCAGCTCGAAAGATTTCTTTTGTATCCCATGACTTTTGCAGCTATCAATGTAAACCTACCCTTGCTGAAATGCACGCCCAAACTCTGCTATTCCGTGGATACCAATCGTTCGTTCGTTACCATCGTGGCTCGGCACCCTTCGGGGCTCTGTACGGTGTAGTATGCACCGCTGCTCCAGCTCAATCTCGCGAAAAAGTACTTCAAGTAGCAATGAACAGCCCATCGATAACGCCGCTAGGAGTGGAGACACCCCCCATGTTCGACGACATCACGACTTTGACGGTTTGACCAGGCCTGTCCCTTGTCGAATCTCAAGGCACACCTCGCTAGGCGTCGTCACTGGGCGCGAATACTTACTTACTACCTACCGCATCTCGTTGGCCCAATTTGTTTCTGCATGTCTCGGATTCGAGACGTTGGGATAGTACCCTCAGACTCTGCAAGTGTAGAGGAAAAGAAAGGAGACTGGGTTAAGGTACCGTAGATGAGGCGATGCGGAGGAAAGAAATGGAAAAAGCAAAAACGCAAATCCTTGAAGATGAAAGCACGTACTAGTTACCACTGAACCAACCACCATCGCACCCCCGCGCCATTTCTCTCCCGCAGCGCGCCGCCGACCTTCCCGAAGCGCCGTCCCGGGGGATACC